ACCCCAACTCTTCCCTCCAGGCTACAGCTCATCCAGAACTCTGCAGCCCGTGTCCTCTCCTGCACCGGGCTCCGTGACCCTATTACCCCCATCCTTACCCAACTCCACTGACTTCCTATCACACACTTGATACAGTTCAAGATCCTGATCCTCACCTTCAAAGCCCCCCAATGCCTTGCTCCTCCCTACCTCTGTAACCTCCTAAGCCGCTACCCACCTACCCTCTCCCTCTACTCAGCAGGCTCTGGCCTGCTTCACATCCCCCGCATCGCCCACCCCACCATTGGCGGGCAAGCCTTCAGCCACTCTGCCCCCACAATCCCTCCACCTCACCCCCTCCCTTGCTTCCTTCAAGACCCATCTCAAGACCTTCCTCTTTGACCATGCCTTTTGTCACCCTCCTTCCCCACTGCCCTCCATCCTCCCCGATCCCGACCCCCAGCTCAGGTCTGAAACGGACTTAAGGACAGACTGTCCAGCGCCTTGGGATGTCCTCCCAATAAGAAGGTATACAAATATAATTTTATTGTTGTTGTTGTGCGCAATTGACTGCCGCATTTCGCCCACAAAATGTCAACCTACTTAACAATATACTTTGTGAAGTGCTTTGATACCTCTCAATGACGTGATAAGGCGCTATATTAAATGCAATTATTATTATCATTATTAACTTTATTGTCTCTTAACCATGTGTCCAATCATTTTTTTAAAGCGCACATGGTTGCCACTCCAATAAATGACTTGCAGAGAATATCACTCTCTACATGAAAATGGTTTTCCTGTTTTAGATCTCCTTTTGATTTTAAAACTATGCTCTCTAATTCTAGACCCCATAACCACTGGAAATAATATTTCCCTATCCACCTCATCTGTTTTAAATGCCTGTATCCTGCAATATATGGAACACCTAGATCAATCCAGATGCCATGCTTCTTCACTTCATAGTGGCTTAAAAATAATTCTAATTTTAAAACTAAAAAAAATCTAAATTAAAAATGCACACTTGCAGCACTAGATTAAAATTCAGCTGGAATGAGAAACTATTTTCTAGAAATTGGAGGGTGTTCAACCCAAAACCAGTTAATTTATTAGGTACGAGACAAAAATAACCTCAAATAACCTCAAACATCACATTATCACAACACCCCACGCCCACCTCCCTGCCACCATAATTAGTTATTTCCAAAAATACCCTGTGTGCTCTTCGCATCATTTTCATATTCATTTTAAATGTGTCTTGCTTCACCTAATATTTGTAAGGTAAGTCATGCAAAGTGGAAAATCTGAGAGATGGCTGGCCCATTACAAGACTTTTAGTCTGAAATTTATGTGACCTTCCTTGTTCTAATGAGAATGTGCCCTCAAGCATCTTCAGTTTTATTCTTTTCACCTACCATTTACTGCCATTCTGTTTGCTGTCCTCAAATAGGAAACATTCAAGTTCTACAAGACTGCTCCAAAGTTTACTTCGAAAGTCGGTTGACATGATTCTGTCTGTTAGTTGTAATGTGCTTTCTGTCGCATAGGTTGCTGTTCTAAGTTTGGATCTAGGACTTATTATTGGGAGAATAGATGTGTTCTACTGTGTGCACTGGGTGTGCTTGACCCTAATACCAAATGCTCAAAATAGAAAAGTGTTCCATTCATCAGTACTAACATCATGATTTGTATTAAATCCAGCAAAAAGTACAACATGCGTATCACCACCATCTGTTGTCAAAAAACTGATTTCATACTGTTTGAGCTATTAAATAAAAGTATTTCTCACAATAAGTGTGGGAATAGTCCATGAAGAGACATCTTGCAATCAATTTGGATAGTTGGCTGTAGGACATTAAATCATTTGTTGAGAAGGTGGGTCAAGGCTTAATAAACGCAAAATCTGAGATCTGTGGGTTTAAAAAATAACTTTAATGTTAAGAGAAAAGAAAGAGGATTTAGATAAATTCAGTATGGGTTTGTGGCCATTGTCGGCCTCTCTATTGAAGTTCCATTTTCATCTGTAATGGTGAGGAAAGAAAATTGGAGAGATGCACAACTGAATAACTGTATAACTGAATTGCTCTGGCTGTCAAATAAGGAAATAAGAACCATTGAATGTTGTGACTTTTATGGAACAACCTGGATGAGCTCCCATTCAACATAAAATGTCACGTCTAATGCAGGCATGAGAGAGACCTTCCCCTGCTGCCCTCATATCATGTGAGGCTGAAGGGCCTGAATCTAATCAACATGAGTCTTTTCTGATTACAGGATCAAATTGATATTTGGACAAAATGTGATCAAGGAGTGGACGTTTCTTACACTATTCTTTTGTCAGTCTGGTGCAGTGGTAGTGCTCTTGCCTCCGAGTCAGAGGGTTGTGGGTTCAAGCCCCTCGTCAGGACTTGGAATCACATAATCTAAAGTGACATTTGAATGCAGCTCAAGGGGTGTACTGCATTGTTGGAGGTGCCTTCCTTCGGATGAGAGCTAAACCGAGGTCCCATCTGCCAGTTCAGGTGGATTTTAAATCCCATGGCACTATTAGAAAATAGAAGGGAGTTTCTCTGAGTCTCCCGGCCAACAGTTCCCCAAATAAAAAAGATTGGTCACTCACTCCATGGCTGTTTGTGGGACATTGCTGGGCTCAACTGGATACCGTGGTTCACCGACAAAATATAGTTAATCCATTTTATAGTATATCCTGTGACATGCTTTGAGAAATCTCAACGACATAAGCACTATATAAAATGTAAGGATTATTTTGACTTTGAATCCATTACCAAGACTGGCTTCCCTTCATTCACATTCAGTAACTATTTCATTCTGTGTTTGAAGTCTAATTTTGTACCTAGTAAACACTTCTTGATTTCCTTGAAGTTAGAAATACACAGCCATTTAGAAATAAGGGTCATTGGTAACATGGGCAAGGTTATTCTCAGTGGTCTTCCCACTAGTTATCAAACTTGGCTGTAACTGTGTCAGCTATGTACTAAGAGTGCAAAGTGTGGACGTTTTGATTTGATTGATAAATTCTTTACAGTTTTCATTATGAAATTCCAAACAACCCACCCCACACACACGCACACATTTTTAAAAAATCTGGTAGCATATTAGTTATATTTTCTTTCATTGATAAGACCTGTAGCTCAGTGGTTAGAGCACTCGTTTTGCAAGCGAGAGACCTGAGTTCAATTCCAGGCAGGTCAGGGCGAAACCTTGGGCAAGTTTCCTTACTCCACACGTCTAATAATAATCTCTCCAAAAAAACAAAACAATAATAAATTGGTCATTTTCAATCTACGACTGTTTGTGGGACATTGCTGTGCGCAATTGGCTGCCGCGTTCGCCCACAAATATACAGTCAATTCACTTTACAGTATATTCTGTGAAGTGCTTTGGGACGTCCTTCCGACGTGAAAAGCGCTATATCAAATGCAAGGATTATTATTATTATTATTATTATTATTATTATTATTTCCCTGTTACTTTGTAGTGTTGGTAAAGTGAGAAAAAAAAATTCTTTCCAAATTTCTTGCATTTTCCTTCCAATACCTTGCAAATTCCAGCACTGAGGATCAATATATGGCATCCACTTGTTCAATTTTGTCACGATGAGCACATAAAAGACTTTAAAAGTGTAACTGTTGATTCAACTGTATTTTTAATTAATAGAACAATTTGTATATAAGTAAGCAGCCCCCAATTAAGGTTTATATATTTCAATATGAATATTTCACTACTGACCTAAAATAATGAACAAGTCCATCAATTTCTATTTATAATAATGGGAATACAAAACTCTGTTACATTCCATATTTAATAGGAACAAAATATTGTTGTCCAGCCAAGCGCTTCCTGCATTTCAGGAATAGATTACATGTCAGTTGCTTGATTAGTTGCATGGTACAAGATATAAATATGTATTATAATAAATATATAAAGTTAACAAGGATTCTTGAAACATTGCAACACAATAATTATCTGTAAAATGTAAGTACAGAGACACATAAAGTTATGCATTTCTCTTTGAGGGGCTTACATAGTCAATAAGAGGGTAGAAAAACATTTTGAAGCAATAATGCAGTTAAGAAGTGGTTGTACGTTTGTATTTACATTATATTAGTAGTCTGTCTTCGAGTTTTTTTTTACAATCACATTTTATGATGAATTCTTAATGAAAAAAATAAAACCATAAAGAGCATGTAGACATTAGTGTATTATGAAACATCAAAAATGCATCAATTGGAGAAAATGCTAATTGAACTATTAATTAAAAAGCCACAAAGGTTACTATTTATTAGTCCCTGGGATTCTGATATTTTACAATAGGTGATGTAAATGTCAAGCTCTTTGTGAATTGTTAGTGTACACATTAATTATGCTTCACGTCACTTGCATAACCTTTGTTGCTTTAATGATTATTTTTTCATTTATGAAGGCCATGAAACAAACATGTAACAGGCAGTGTGGTCAAGTAGCAGAAACCATACCAGGGTTCATAGTTTTAATTGGTTTATCTCTGGGAAGAATAACTGGTTAGGGAATTAAACAGAACAGAAAAAATGATAACCTGATAAACATCAGCAGAATTCAGCAAAAGGATTAATTCTCACAAAAAGGTGCCTGAGAAAATAATTAGAAAGTGGAAGATGCTACGTTTAGAAGAATGAACTCAATCTCACATTTTTTATGTATTGCCTTGTATTTAGCAACAATTTCTGACCCTGTGGGACATAATATAATAATAATCCTTGCATTTGATAAAGCGCTTTTCACGTCTTCTAGACGTCTCAAAGCGCTTCACAGAATATGCTGTAAAGTGAATTGACTGTATATTTGTGGGCGAAATGCGGCAGCCAATTGCGCACAGCAGTGTCCCACAAACAGCCGTGGATTGAATATGACCAATTTATTGTTGTTTTTGTTTTTTGGAGGGATTATTATTAGATGTGTGGAGTAAGGAAACTTGCCCAAGGTTTCGCCCTGCCTGGAATTGAACCCAGGTGTCTCACTTGCAAGGCGAGTGCTCTAACCACTGAGCTACAGGACATCAGGTAAGGATGGATCACAAGACTGGAGCATCATGGATTAGTTAACCCTTCAAATTAAAAGGTTTCTAACTCCTTTGCAGGGAATAATTAAGGCCCTCACAGGCTAAATATTTTTGCAAACTCTGGAATAAATGGAACAGACAGAAAGTGCACATCAATTTCTCTTATCCTTAAAATCTAGGATAATCCTGTAGTTCAGGTTCAGAGTTCAAGAAGGGAGTCTCTTAGCAAATATTACTTTAAAAAAATCTATTTCTAGGTAGCCTTGAGTTTATACTAGAATAGTAAATGAATGAAATATATGGAACTTAAGGAGTTCAGCTTCCCCCTTTTCTTTGAAAATTTGATAAAAATGCCTTTTTCATTTCCATACTTCAGGGAATAAATACAGAACGATGATCTATTTCTGATCTCTTTGTAACACAGAAATATATTTATCTATTTTCAAACATTTTTGAGCTTTCTGATTTTCCTTGAAGTGTAGAAAGTACATTTCTTGAACGTGGGGTGTCTGTAACTGGCTTGTGGAGGCCAAGCATTCAAAGCGATGTCACTTTTTGATTCATCAATGATGCTCTTTCTATCATCATGAAGCAGAATTCACCAAGCATTGGGATTGTTCAGCCACGAATAAAGAATGTGATCTGGGATTAGACTGTTGTAAAGACAGGGTAGTTTTACCCTACTGATGATGTGTTCTTACAACAGTGATCCTAAGTAATGCTACCATTGTAGTTTGGTCCCATAGAAAATATTGTACAATTGTCCCTGTAAAAGACTGAGTAAAGATCGACAATGGCTCTTGTGACAAGTTTATAGATGTGCCAGGTTTCGCCATAATGTTAGTAGAACAGTTGTATTTGGTTAAAATTACAACTGGAAAAGTTATAATATGAGCCAATAAACATTCATTCATTTCTGGCCAAATCAAGTGACCTAAAAGTAGTATTTATCGTCCATTTTGGTAACTGTATGTAATTGTTTCAGTTACCATTTATATTGTTGATGGAAGCAAGCTTAAGGGTCGCTAAATCTTAACTTGGTTGCTGACGATCATCCCATACGAAGTGTAATCCAACATCAGGTGATTTCAAGCAGGTTCTTGTTTAGTCACCGGCTGCCAACTACAAAGTCTTCTGATTCTTCTTCTTCCTCTTCTAATGGCAAAAGCTGTTTCAGCATTGCATGTAGTGTTTCTTTCACCATCTGGATTTCTCTCTGTAGAGACTGTGAGCAGTTATTAAGGATGAAACTGTAGATAATTGGCAATTATTTTATATTTGAATCATTTTTTTAAAAATTGCAGCGGCACCAGCTTTACATAGCTTAATATTGCATATTCATATTGGTTCCCACATTTTTTCATTAAATATTAACTGATAGCTAAACATATGTAAAATGCATTGATTTTCTAATTCCACCTTGGGATTCATTCCCCAGAATGATCATCAGTTGAGTCAATAATATATTTTAATTGTCACTATTGGTTCAAACACAGTTCAGGTTATTTCACCTTGCCTTGATGACGAGAGCAATACAAACAGTATAGGTAAAAGTGAAATACGCTATGTGGATTCTTCAATCCTGAGGGATGTACATTGTAGATTGTATCAGAGATTGTGAACCTACAAATGAAGCAATTTTCACTCGATTATTTTGGTACCTCCCTCAAAATAATCCTTACATTCCTGGCTCAGGGTCAAGCTCAGCCACTGCTAAATACCTCGCATGAAGGGTCCTATATAAATGCAAATTGCTGTTGTACATTTGGTATGGTGTCTTTCACGTTGGGAGGACATACCAAATCACTTTACAAAATATACTGTAAAGTGCAGTGACTGTGTGTTTTGTGGGTGAACAAAACCCACCATCACCTTCATAAAAAATTAATTTCACAGATCAAATACGTCTGTCAGACATGAAGATGCAGGGTTTTTATTTTTGAAGCACAATTTCAGCAGGGAGGAAAAACAGAAAAAAATTGCAACATTCTTCCATCAGTTTTCAACAAATACAAAAAATGTTTCCTGTCACCTAAAGATTCGTATTTGTACTTGGTCGATGAATGGAAGAGGAAGAGCAATGATATTTTTTAAAAATATTTTATCTCATGAATAGTTTACTGACCTCACTAGGCAAAGAATTGCTACTGGAACAGCATGACCTTTGGGATTTTGATTTGCCACAAACCATCCTTTGAAACCTCAAACAGAATACTTTAATGTAATTGAAGATAATCCTCTGAGACAGCAAAAATCTAGTTGAAGTCAACAGTCAACAGCTAACACCATCACCATTTCAAACAGTATAGGTAATACTTATAGTTTTTCATGCTCCTCTTTTGCCCAGCATCAGTCCAGTACCTATTCATGCATGTTATTGATTCTGTAGCAAAGATTTTCATTGTTACTGAAACTGCTGCAATGTTTCAATCCAAGGGCCATAAAACAAATATTGTGCATCACATTTCTTTGCTGTTTTAGAATTCTTTAGACCAAAACAGAACAAAATGAACACCTATATAGGAATCTGGGTCTGTAATCTGTAAATAATCAGCTCAGGCCTAATTATTGGTTCATTTAAAGATTTGTAAATGTACTTGCATGTTTTCCATAACAGGTCTATAACAAAGAGTGATATCACTCACAACAAAACAAGTTCAGATTCAACATTGCCCAATTTAAAGGATATGAGTGAGACAGTCATCATGATTATCTGTTGCAGTTAGCAGCTGATCTTCCAAGCTTAGTAGTTGGTCACTGATTGCTTCACACTGTTCTCCAATGTCTACTGCAAGACCTTCACAAACAACCTGCAAAAAGCCCAGATGATTATTTATGAGAATTAATGTTTTAATCATACCCATTTACATTATACCAAAGTATAGGTTTATACACATTCAAATTATTTAAACATTATTTTCAGTAGGGCAGTTTGATTTCTCTGTAACTTGTAACTTTTAATACATAAAACACATCCCAAACATGCTGCCTGTATTGTGTTGCCTTCCACAGGCAAAGACATTCAAGATTTTAGCCATAAGGCTCTTGATTTCTGCCAGTAATCTATTTAATAATAGAAATATATATAAGCAGTGGGAAATTGTCCATGCACAGATCCTAAACTAATTATTGCAAGTGATGTGGTTTTGTGGGAGGATACACCCTAGAAATTGAAACTGATGCTGACTCTTACGAGGAAGACTCTTTTTGCTGAATTTGTCTCCAAATCATTGAGTAGATTTGCATCAGGGTATCTTTGTTCTCAACTACTTTTATTGCTTTCTTCTTAAAATTAACATTGGCTAACATCAACAAATTTCAGTTTTGATTCGACTTTAGGGATGGATTTTTTTTCTTCCTGAGAACATAACATGTCTCAAACCTCCCGCAGTATCCCAACGCACGCTTGTAGCTTGGTTCTAACCTGTGCCTTATGTTCTCTGGAATTAGGTAAGCATTCCTCCAGAGAGAGTGTGCATTCTGTTTCAAACTCACAGAAATTCCCATGCTTGGGTGGCATACATATGTGTAACTCTAAGTCTGGTTTGGATAATCTTAAGGTTGATGATGGGTTTGCACATGTGGGATACCTGGTTGACCAAAAAAAAGCCACAAAACCAATCCTCAAGAGGGAGACACTGGAGGCCTTAACTTCTCTTGAGTGCTTCCCAGCCTCAGTAAAGTACAGGGTGTCCATCATTAACAAGTAACTCTTTGTATAGAACAACATGTATTTTGATAACTCAAGATGTGTGTAAATTGAAATCTTATAAACCGGTCTGATCACATGAGGTATGCAGTGGAAATCCCTGGAGAAGCAGGTATTTTATGGGTTAACTTCAAGTGTAATGATGTGGTAATGATAATTATACTTGGAGTAATGGGATTATTTGTTTTAGTTGTAAAATAGTTTTGGCTTGTACGTGTCATTCTGGTTTTTACGATTAATGTTTTTTTCTGTAGAAGAAGAAATTGCATCTATATAGCGCCTTTCACGTTGGGAGGATGTCCGAGGATGTCACTGGATAGCTTGCACACAAGCTCATGGTTGGATTCAAGAGGTGGGGCAAGGGGATTGAGATGGGAAGATGACCAAAGGCTTGGTCAAAGAGGAAAGTCTTGAGGCGTACCTTGAAGGAGGCTTGAAGGGACTCCGGGATAGAGTTCTGGAGGGTAGGACAGAAAGGTTGAAGGCCTGACTGCTGATGCCGGACCAGGCATGGTTGGGAAATGTGAATTTAAATTGCTGCAGACCCAGCAGTTTCGATGTTCCAACAATACATTTCTTAAGTGTGGAAGATTAATTTTAGTTATAGTCAGTAACCCTTAATACTTAATGAAAATGGCAAGAAGCCCAGATATTTTCTACTCAAGAAAATGTTTATGCAACGGATAAGCCTGGTTAATTTCCTGTGATTGGCAAAAAGCCAGTGTCTTCAGGCCTTAACACTGAAACAACGTAGCCAACTATTTAAACTAAATTAAAACTACCAAATCATCTAATCAAAAGTTCATGACAGACATGGCAATTTGGACTATCTTTTCAGTTGTGGACTTAAAATCTATAATTGGAAATAAAATTATTTTATTTCCAATTATAGGGTCATAAGCTGTACAAGGCATTGTGTAATAAAAGCAGTGAGGGATTGCAAAAAATACACATTGACAAACTGCCTTAAAATATTTGAATTATTTCAGTCTTACAATAATGTAGCTGTAATGCTGAGTAACATGCAATTGGGAAAGTAATTACTATACTTCACATGAGCTTGGCGGACCTTTCTGTCACAATAGAGCTTAAACGATAAGCTGTTTCCATATATGCTTATACATGCATTTTCAAGTAAAAACGTAGTTCAGCAAAGTATACAGAAATCTGCAATTTGAAAGGTAATTAGATACTTATTGCTTGTATAATGAATTAAACAATTAAAGCTCAACAACAGATTGTTTCCGATTATAAATATTTTGATAATATAAAGCAAAGCTTCAATAACATTTCTTTATAAAAAAAATGGAATTGCATCATATGAGCAGAAGCTAAATGAATCATTTATTGAAATTATTTTAATAAACATATTAACTTTTCTTGTACTGGGCACAAGGGATCCTCTTCAGTAGATAAATAACTATTTACATTTATATTGTCTTCTTTCATGTCAGAAGGACATCTCAAGGTACTCGACGGTCAAGGGTTTGCACCCAAGCTGGGGGTTGGATTCGGGAGAGGTGGGGGCCAAGTGGGGTGGGGGTTGGAAGACCGAAGACGGATATTAAAGGAAGCAAGGGGAGAGGCATTGGGACTCTGGGATGGAGTTCCAGAGTGGGAGCAGATAGTCCAAAAGCCTGACTGCCAATGGTGTGGCAGGCAGGTTGAGGGACATGATGCAGGCAAGTGCCCGCCAAGTGGGGGAAGTGGGTTGGTTTATAGATTTAAGGTCGCGGAGGTAGGGTGGAGAGACTATGGAGAAATTTAAAAGTGAGGATGAGATCTTGAATTCAATCCTCTGGTGGATGGAAAGCCAGGGAAGGATGGGCTCATGGAGTCTAGTACAGGAAAGGACACGAGCTGCAGAGTTCTAGATGGTCTGCAGCTTGTAGAGGGAACACTTGGAAAGTCCAGCAAGCAGAGAGTTGGCATAGTCTAGCCTGGACATGATGAAATCATGGATAAAGGACTCGGCAGCCCGAGGAGTGATAGTGGCGGAAACAGGCAATGTTGTGAGGTGGGGGAAAGTTGAATGGATCAGAGCATTGATGTGGGATTTAAAGGACTGTTGAGAGTCGAACAAACTACCAAGGTTTCACACCAGCTTGGTGAGATGGGAGTGTGCATCCGTGTAGATTGATGCTGTGAGCGCCTGAGTTGAGAAGGCACTGACGGGAGCCAAGCAGGAGAGCCTCTGTCTTGTCAACATTCAACTGGAGAAAGTTTGTTCTAAGAACTTAAGAATTTACTAGGTGAAAGAAGACCAAGATCCATCTAATTCCCCTTCCACCATCCTGGCAGTCACTTGACATGTTGTTTCCCAAACTATACACTGTATCCCGATGTATTATTTTCTAGCAGAAATCTATCTAATTTGTGCTTGAAACAAACATTTTCTGCTTCCACTGTCTCCTTAGGGAGCCTGTTCCATAAGTTTACCACTCGCTCACTGAAGTAATGTTTCCGCAGATTTATTCTGAATTTACCCACCTTCAATCTCATCCAGGATTTGGTGTCCAATAGCTCAGTTAAACAGCAACATGGTAAGGTGGGGTTTTAATACAGGATTGAAAGCACAGTACTAAAGAAATACTGTGTATTATGTGATATTACTATAGTAATTTTGTGGTTCATATACGTTTCCGAAACAAAAGTCACCTAGCCACTCTACTTGAGAAGACCAAGAGCAAATTTTACTTGTGTGAAATGAAAAAGTTCAATGCATGTTTACAAATAAGCTTTTCTAATACTATACAGTTTATATTGGTTTCGTTCACAAAATACAGGGTCAGTTCATTTTACAAGTGTATCCTGTGAAATGCTTTGAGACGTCTCAACAACGTGATAAGGCACTATATCAAATGAAAGATTTATTATTATTGTTAAGATTACAGGGTACTGAGATTTAGAGTATGTCCAGTGGATCAGCTAACATTAGTGCAGGCTGGATGGATCAAATGGACCTTTGCTGTACATTCTTTTATTTCATGAAAACTTCCCTTTTTGTTGGGCTACAGAATTAGCTGTAAATCCAGCAGGTGAAATTCCTGTCAACGCTCACCTTTGTTGATGTATTCTGGATGCTGAGTGAGCATTTTCTTGAATTCTAAGGAGCAAATGTAAAAGAGATTCTGTAAGTATTTCATAGTCACTTAATTTACACTAAGTAGCAAGTTCAGGTTGACTAAGCTAATTTCAGAGAAAACCAAACTGCATTAAAAAGTAGACTAACAAACAAGTTAAATCGTCCAAAGCAGCTGAAACATACTGATCTTTAAGTGCAAAGCATAATTTTATTTATTTGGAGTATTCTATAGTCAATAATACAATGAGAAGCAGTGGAATATGTTGTGAATCTACAACAACAACTACATTCACTTATATAGCACCCTCCACGCAGGGTAGCGTCTCATAAACATAATTTTGTGTTAAATATCCTATATTTCTGCTGAAAGCGGACGTTCAATATCTGAGAAACATATTTTATACTTTTTTTATGTCCTTTTCATTAACTTGCATCTTTCTCTCACATGTTTGATAGCTTATTTTTCTTCCTTGCAAAAATATTGCTCTTGCACTTTGCAACTCAGCTGGACAGATTGAAAAATTAAAACTATAATTCTTTGAATCTGGTGATGTGTGTTGTGGCAACACATAGAATTGCAGTACCAATAAATTTCATATTTCACCATATTGAGATTTTGGTTATATTGCATGATAGGAACAAGCAAATTAATATTCTCGATATACTCCTTTGTGTATTCCATATAGATGATCTTAAAAAGAAAATTCTTAACTTATATATTAATTTGAACTTCAGTCTTAACTATTATAACAAGGATCTATTATAACAGTTAGTACAATGTACTTTTCATCTTTCTCAGCATTTTCTCTTGGTCAGCTGGATGTTTGACACATGTTGGGATACCCATCATGGCATCCAAACTGGACAGAGCTCCACGTATACAGTATATGCCATATACAAATGGAAATTTCTGTGTGTCTGGAATGAAATACCCGCTCTATCCCTGGAGGGATACACTCTGCTTACCAAATTTCGGAGAGTATTAAGCACAGGTTAATATGAGTCAAGGCATTGAGGCTCCAGAGTAGGTTTTGGGCCTTGACCAGCTACAGCTACATAGCTTGCCCTTGAGAGCACTCTCTGACATGCTTCCTGCTGCTTGACTAGTCAGGACCACCTTATTTATTAGGACTTTGGCTTGCAAGGTTAATAAGAACTGAGTGGGAGAGTTTGTGCCCCCAGTGACCAGTCTTTCCAAGTCCTGTTGAGGAGTTAGGCTGGTTGGTCTGTTATTAGTTCCCTGAAGTACCGCAGACCAATCTATCTCAAGAAGAAGACTATTGAAATCACCACAGAAGTTGACTCAGTTCCAATATTCTGTTGCCGAGCATGTTACACTAAACCCAGCTCTGCCCCAAGGAGACCACCCTTACCTTCCCACGCACCCCCCCACCCCCCAACAGGAGGACAGTTTCAGGACAACATAATATACATAAGATTGAAATTTTTGTGAGTGGTAAAGGCTAAAGCTACAAATTAAGTATGGCATGGTGGCATAGTATACTGCACTCTTACATCAGGGTGGAGTTATTCATGCCTAGGAATTTTCATATGCTAAGTTTACCATTTTTTATTATATTAATTTCACACAATTATTTTGGTTATATATAATATGATGTGATTATTTGATACTTTCATCATTAGCAATTTGATGAAGGAAGGAACTCATGAAATGTGGAAACACAATTCTAGTGGACTGTGACAATAAGTACTAGAAAACTAATTTAATTCAAGAAAACATTATGCCAATAGAAAGTCAAAACAATGTAAATAAATGATTAGTGTTAAATCCACAAGTGTGACAATTAGACCTTCATAATACACTCAATGTATTACAACTTACGTTTTTTAAAACCACCCTGCATTTGGAAATGAACTGCATATCCCACGGCTCTCATTTTATGCTGTACAGGTTCCAAGAAAGGAAATTTCACCCGAGTTTACTCAGTTTAAGTAATATTTTAGAGCATCCAGAATTTAGCAAATCCTTAAATACAACCTTAATTCTGAAGCCAATTTTGGGTAGGTTATTTTAAAAATTTACAATGTATCAATTTGCCGTATTCAGATGCATTAAAATCAGATGCATCAGCATCCTCTTTATAATTCACAAATTAAAATTATACTTACATTTACAAAGAGCAAAGATTGTTCACTGCCCATTTTAAACAACATCTAATGGATTACTAATAAATACCAGATGGTGGTACCTTTGCTTTTTCTCACCTTCACTCACTTTGAATCTAGTAGATTACTGGGAAGATCAGCCTCTCCTTCAAAGGGACAGAAAGGGGACACTGCATAGCATGCAAAGCATAGAAAGAGGTCAGGAAGTTAGAAAGTAAGCTTCAAGTACTTTACCACAAACTGCTGAAGTACTTTGAAATGTACTGTCAAAATAAGGATCACAGTTACAAAGTTTCTGTTCTTCATGCAGTCTCTAATGAGAATTAGCATGCAAGTAGCACAAGAAAGTTTGTTAGTCAGAGTATGGCAGAAGGAAGAGAAATAACTATCAAATATATTAGGCAACACTGTTTAGCAGATTGGTTTTAAAAAATAGCTAGAGGTGTTTGGTGTCTCAAAAGTTATTATACTATTTTAAAAGCATCACTGCATTGAACTACCTTCATTTAAATCTTATGTGTATAAGAATTTCTCTTCTTTAAGACTTCATATGTACAATTTATAACAAACTTAAAAGCCATTGAAAAGTTTGGATAACATACATGTGCAAATTCTTATAGGAAGAGGCATTCCTGAGAAAAAGTACTAGTATTGTACCCTTCTTTGTTCACTCTCCTTCTCCACCACCACCCCCACCCCGCGCCCCCATCACCAAAACAGATTGTTCTTGAGACACAGAACCCAAGGTTAAGAATGAAATCTTGATTTAGAACTACATTTGATACTTGGAAGTTCAGCCTTGTCAGCATACATTTAACCTCTTAAAAATAATATAATCCTTACAACTTGATGAAAACCTGCCATCCATCAACTGAAAACAGTTTAGATAAGTGGGAAAACTGTCTGCTTTTCATTACAATGTAAAACCAACAGAAATGTAGAGATTGACTATTAAACTGATCGTCACCACTGGCACAAATTTTAATGTTGCTACAACTGGCAACTCAAGTCCTGGATGAGAGTTAACTTTCTCCAATTGAATGTCGACAAGATAGAGGCTCTCCTGCTTGGTTCCCATCAGCACCTTCTCATCTCAGGTGCTAACAGCATTACCTCACATGGATGCACACTCCACTCACTGAGCCAGTGCTAAGCCTCGGTTTCTTGTTCGACTCTCAGCTGTACTTTAAATTCCACAAACATGCCTCGACCTGTTCAGCTTTCTCCCACTTCCACAACATTGCCCACCTCTGCCACTACCTCTCCCCTCAGGCTACCGAGATCTTTATCCAAGCTTTTATAACGTCCAGGCTTGACTACACCAACTCTCTGCTCGCTCATCTTCCCACCCCCATTCCCCATGGCTCCCACCCTCCCAAAACCAATTTTGGATGTAAACCTTCTACTGTCCCAGGGATGTACTCCCGACGAGAAAGGCACTATATAAATGCAATTTGTTGTTGTTGTTGAACAATTCCTCACCCATCCATTCAATTTGCCTTGGGGGTTTGAATCATTACTGGTTAGTTAGCAACATATTTACAGTAACCTTTCAAATACTGTGGTGCTCTTATTTTCCTTTTTTCCTCAGATGAGCTTTCAATTCAGCTTGTGTTTTGTGCATCTGCACATTATTTCACCCAACGAGAGGGCTACCACAACATCCCATTCTGACGGAACGGACAACAGTTAATTCTACAAAGTTGTAGCCAGTTCGCTGTTTTGTTTCAATGTGAGTGCAGAGCTCTCTTTCCATATGTATTTTTCACATGACCGTCTTTCTATATTCTATTTATACATTAAGTAACTTGCTTCAAGGGTTGCCTTAGTTGAGAAATTTGATGAGATAGCAAAGACATTCTTGTACAAGTCAGCTTAATAAAAGATTCAGTGAATAAAAGGATTCTGTGAATAAATAGCATTCAGTTCTCTATATTTTTAAAACCATATATGAATAAAATTGAGAAAATTATTAATATAAGCCTTCCTTCTTAGAAACAACAGTTTTACAAGTTGTTTTCCAATGTTATTGAGTTAAACTGAAATGCACGCACTCCTGAATGGCAATAATGGAGGGCTATTTGTTGAGTTTTATTTCATAAAAAATAATAGATTAAATTTTCCAGTTCAATACAAGTTTTGGAAACAGATACTTTCTATCTTCCATTTGGAGATGCTTGGTAACTTTCTTTTAGGGTTTGGGTAACGTATTATAACAGCAACACAAACCAAATATAATATATGATTTGAAAATAAGAATTCTTGTACTGAAAATTGATGTCACAGAGGTGTTCATTCTATACAAAATACAATCCAAAATTAATTTGTAAAGCACCTTGCACGTTGGGAGGATGTCCCAAGGATCTATACAGTACTGATGCACAAAACAATTGTTTTCAGCCCTACAAATGCTAAACAAATATTAAGAATTGTTTACTGAAACTAATCAGTCTTTGCTCTTACAACAAAACATAAATCATGTCCACAACATTGTGAATGCTGACAAATAACAGACCATTGAAAAAAAGAAATGTCCTCCCGCTGCCACACTCCTCCTCATTTCCAGTGACAAAACTCTGATCTATTCAGCTATAACTAAACCTAATACATTAGTGCTATGTTGGCTAATGTGCCAGTGCTGGGTATGCAGAAATCAATGGTTACCTCAGCTGAAGCAGTTTCCTTTTGTTGACGAACAGCACACAAATCATGCTCTTGAGAAAAGACAGATTCCATTTTATCCTTAATCTCAGAGCATGGATCTTCAATGGCCTCATCTTCTTCATCTGCCCGGTACTCGTCCCCTTCAGAGGCAAAGTAACTTGCTTCTTTTAGCTGTAAACCTCTGACAAACAGCTGACAGGCCTCCAAGTCTGCTTCGAACATTCTCTCAAGCAACTGGCTTCCACAACTGAAACAGAGATGAAGACATTAAGGACATATTTCAGAAATTGTCACCTGCCTTTAAATTAAACATTTTTTTGAGGTTCAAAATTACCTTGTCCAAATTTTGGTCTGAAAGAATACTATACTTTCCTTACTAATTATTGTGTGACATTTTATTAAACCTTAGAAAACTGCCAATTTTTAAATCTAAATCCACCATTCAAACATCAATAATAACAGAGTAGCAAGAACTCTGAAGATCAATTGACCAGAGATCTATTTAAACCCTCCCTTAGAGATATAAAATTGTGTTATGATTGAACTACAAAATTTGCTTTAACAGAACACCTTCTCAAACCAGAAGTAGATTTTCCAGTACAAACTGAGATTGTCAGTATGAATATTACAAATAAAGTGACACTGAAGTTGCTTATGCTCTGCTGGTATGTTTATTGCCTCATTGAAAAAGTGAGGCAATCCCAAGTATTGGAGAAGGGAGAATGTAACACTGATTTAACAAAAATAGTTTTGTTGAGAATGATATCCCAAATGGCACGGATGGCCATATGACATAATGAATTTTACTTATAAACAGATCTTCAATAAATTACTACCAAAGAAACTCCTTTACAAAATAGTCAGTAGACATCAAGACATGAATTTGTATTGGGTTGATTATGGATTTGGACATGGATTGGGATAATAATAATTCTTGCTTTTAATATAGTGCCTTATCACTTTTTTGAATCATCTCAAAGTGCTTCATGGGGTTTTTACTGTAAAGTGTATGACCAAATAGTTGTAGGCGAACTCGAAAGCCAATTATGTACAGGTTAGTCCCACGAACAGCCATGAAGTGAATAACCAATTAAATCTGGGGTATTGTTGACTGGGACACCGTGAGATACTCTTTTCTTTTGGAACAGTCTAAGGGATCTTTAACATTCATCTTAACAGGCACATTGGATCTCAGTTTAACATCTCATCATATTCAAGGGAGAGTGGGATCCATGATTACTTGCGAATGAGGTAACAAAGGAATACGTAAAAAATTTGAAAATGGGATTAAAAGATCAGTCATGATCTTATTTAACGGTAGAACAAGCTTGATGGGCAGAATGGCTTACTTGTACTATACTCCACATGGTGCCCAAGTCTGTATATAATAAAGCTTAATCTTTATGTTTAAACATATCTGAATTCAACACCACCAAACTCTATTACAATACAAGCCTTTTTAGTTTATCTAAGATGATTGATACCCAACCTGAGGGAGTTTCTTTAGATTCATGGCATAACAAGGAAACCTCTTGCATTTAATGCAATAAATATCAAGAGTTTAACTCCAACCATAAGTCATCCCTTTATACAACGCCAGAACATCTATGGTCCCCCATGTACCCCCTTATCTCTATCTATCTTCACAACAGAGATATGTTACAATAAGTCTTTCTCATTTATGCCTCATCTTAAAAGCTAATGCATACAGATAATGAAGGCATCTAGGATTGTTCCTTTGTGAGACTGACATACCACCAAAGGCTACTGCTTTGGGATCCTGACATTTAGAACACACATCTCTAGGCTTAGCTTCATTATTTGCTGTGAAGAATCTGACACCTGCCAAGATGTCATTTCTTTCTATCCATCATTGGGAAATTCCTATAGGCATAGTGACTGATTTACATCTCTTGAGATTAATATAATATTGTTTTTCATTAATACAACAGCACAATCAGTTCAGTAAGTTGGAAACAATTGGCATGCCAAGATACCTGTAGTCAAAACACACAACGTCATAAGCCATGTCTTGGTGGCATTGAGAAGCAAGTTGTACAGAATGATTTTCTTTAATAATACTGCTCTGGTAACTAATCTGTAAATGTTATCAATATGTACACCCTATAAGGGATATGTCCCAGAAAATTATCAATTGAAATGGTTCCATATTTTGCAATATTAACTGCAGTTATGGGGGCTTTCGTCAAACAATTGTTCCGTAAAGCAACACATCTATTTCTTTCAAATTTTACTGAGGAGTGAACAGTCAAGAAAAAAATCAGAAAACTATCACATCAAAATCATGGCAATTTTAATGTCTAAAAAATACATTGAAGAGAAGACAACCAAAAGAGAAAAATTAAAATGTAAATGATTGGCAGAAATCTATCCAGGGCATATTAAAAGGCTAAAATTATTACTGTGCTGCAAAATTATTTAATTAAATAACTGAATCAGGAAGCAGTATTTTTCAGAAGCCAAAGTTTAAAATTGCATTAGCATCGGTCGTACACTTTTTACAATCAAATTAATCAGTTGGCCCAATTTTAATTTTTTGTAATGCTGGTGTGGTCCCACTTACAGTCAGACAAAGCACATTTTTTAAACCTCAGTCAGCGCTGAAACCACTGGCTTGGGTAAGTCTCATCTGACACAATTCCACCTGGGTTAACACTGAAACCACTGGCCAGAATGGGTCTCAGCCTTGATGTTGAACATTCTTCAAGAACTTTGGAGTTATACCATAAGTGACAAGTCAGATAAATGATGAATAGTTGCAAAGGCATATGACATGCAAAAATCCACCATTACACATGAAAATTTCTGTCTCTGAAATGGAATGCATGCTCTCTCTCTGGAAGAACACACTTTGTTCACCTAATTCCAGACAGTGTTAGGTGCAAATTGGCAAGAGCAAAAAATGCTTAGTTTCCTCCCTCTTATCAAGCTAGGACAACCTTATGTGTTAAGCTTTGGCTTTCAGAGTTAACAGGAACAGAGTTAGAAGAATTTCTGCTAATGTGTTTGCCCCTCCTAGACTGGCTGGTCTGTCAACGACTATCCATGAAGTCCTGCGGAGCTACCTGGTTCGAGAACCAAATGACTGAGACAGATCCAGAGAAATTGAGTTGATTCTGACATTCCGTTGTGAAGGACATCACCCTGGAACCAGCACAGTTCCAAGACCCTCACCGTGTTAAATAAACCCTGCAACACCTATATAAAACCTTAGGCAAGTTTCCTTATTCCACAAGCTTCTGTTTACCAAGCAGTAAGTAGGAGCCTGGTTGTTAATAGATTGGTGGTTTGCTTTCTGTGGGTAACAATTCCTCTAAAAAAAAATCACTCAATCCACAACTGTTTGTGGGGCACTGCTCTGCGCTGGCTACCGCGTTTTGCATACAAAATATACAGTCAATTCACTTTACAGTATATTCTGTGAAGCGCTTTGAGACATCTTGAAGACATGATAACATGCTATATCAAATCCAAGGATTATTATAATAAAAAAGTGAGACAATATAATATTATTAAAGTAGTTGGTATAAACCCTTACCCATTTATCTTGTCTTCTAGCACTTCCATATATTTAAATACATTTTCCTTTAATCTCTTTTCTGTAAATGAAAGGAAATATGAACTTATGAACATCAAACAAGCATTCTGTACACATTATGGCAATGAATCACTTACCTTTTTGCCTTTATGGTCAACGATATATTTGTAATCCCTATTAAGAACCGAAAATTAACTATTTGATGGAATAGACTACTGTTAAATTTGAAAACTATAGTTTATTTTCGGCCATTGATAATTCAACAATGTCACTACATTGTGCCACATTCAGAAAGAGAAATCAAAGTTACTAAATGGACTTTAAAGCCCAGTGTTTTCTTTATGTTAAAAATTCTTGGCCCTTTTAATTGAGTATATTTTGCATCTTTGCATTTATTGTACTTTAATCCCCCTTTTATTAATGTGCAATGCAAAGTATTTGGGATATTGCTATTGATATTGTAAGTACTTCTCCGTTTTAGGGAATCCACAAAGTTATTTAAACGCAAACGTGATGTACCTCACTTTTGTATACACAATTCTTAAATACATTTCATTCCTTAATAATGTAGTGTCATAAAAATTTGCCTCCTGCTTAAATCCAATTGTTTGTACTTGTAGTGTGGCAGAACAAGATTCAAATTTTGGCAGGGATTTGCTTTGTCTCAATAACACCTGGTACACTACTGGCAAGTTAGAGGTGAAGTGGCATGTCCAGGAGTTTCACCAAAGCAAAATTCTTTATGTATTGGTTACTGCCAGCATGTAGTTGAAAGGGAGGAGAGGTTAGACTAAATTGGGGAAAATTTGCATACTAACATTTACAGGAATTAATGTAAGGGAATTACTTTAGACAAAGGTTAATGTATCATCCTACTGGTGAACACATATAATGCTCACTCAGTGAGGTTCCATGGGACTGGGGTAGAACAGGGGGAGCTGATTAGATTTAAAGTTGAAAATGCTTTGTGGGACTCCCTGGTTGAGGGAATAAGACTTTCAAAGACAGAACTTGATGAGAGTCCAACTATCAGGACACCAAATCTCATTGTTCAGTTGGCTGAAGCAACAATACTTTTGCATGCCCTAAAGCTTCATTGCCACGTGTGCCACCTTTATCAAGGATCAGACCATATATCTTCCAATTTAAAACAAGGCTCAAGAAATAAAGCTTTGCTTCTTTTTCAAGAAAAAATATATTATTCCTGAAAAAAAATTGGTCACAAATGACAAATGACTGTTTGTGCACTGCTGTGCACAATTGGCTTCACCCTCAAAATATACAGTCAATTTACTTTACAGCATATTCTGTGAAGATCTTTGAGACGTCTCAAGGATGTGATAAGGCACTATATTTATCACACCCTCCATGATTAATTATTATCTTATAAAAGGAAAGGAGAAGATGGCAACTTTTTGTGCCCTTTGCCTTTTTGATAAATCCTGAAGCCAAAAGAAAATAATTATTTGGACAAGATCATGTGAGTGATATCATGAATGAAACTAGAATTGCTGCTGCAAATAATTCTTGAACATTAACACACTTCTCACAATTTATTTTGCACCCAAGAGTCTAGAAATGCTTGGGAATATGTTATAATATGAATATGTTAACATATTATATCCAAACATTGAACGCAGGACTGGTAAGAATACAGTATCTCGGTAATTCAAATACTGAACTGCAAATTCAAGAAAAATCTGCAGTCGGTATGCATTTGAATTTTTTGAGAAATTAAGCAAATTTAGAATTGTTCAAATTTCAGCAGATAAAGGGACCATTTGGCATATTATATCTAAGTCACTGAACATGTTAGCAAATCGAAGGATGTCTTTCTCAAATCTTCTGGTACAAATCTCACCCCCCCACCATCCCCCACCCCAGTTTCTCTGGCTAGAATTTTCTCTGGAGTGCTTTTTTTTCTAACCCATAAAATTCCACAAAAATTGTGACGAAAGCTTCATCAACACTTGAGTAGGCCAAAAAACTGTTGTTTTGACTATCTGATGCTGCAATAGCACCCTCTTGTGATTAACATGAAATTGCAGAACCATTTTGACCTATTTGAAAATACTCTGCAATATAGTCCATGATGCTAAAATTATCCACTGTTTGCGTAAATGTTAAGGCTAGATTGGAGTAAAAGTGGAGCATCAAACTAGCACTCCGTTCTGAAATCTAACTGTACAATTTCGAAAAACATATTACTAAATGAAAATATGTATGATATTGTTCACACCATTGCAGCAAAAATATTTATTATAAAAGAGACAGGTACATTTTCATTTCCAAATCAAATAACAAACAGCAGTATCAAAACTAGTTTTTAAACATAGATGGGAATCTTTTCTACATCACCATTTATAAATGAAACTTCTACCCCTTAGACTGGCAGCAACTACACAATACTTTCTGTCTATTGAGCTGTTTTTTTCTTGAGAAAATCCATTGCATCCATAATGGACAATCTGTTAGTGATTCTTAGGATTGAACTCACAACAAATGTATTATGAAAATCTGCCATAATGTTGATAATATGTGTCTTAATACACAAAATGTCCTAAATCCTTCTGATATTAAAATACAAAAGATTGAACAGATATGATTATTACAATGTTGGACATTGCTGTGCACAACTGGCTGCCACATTTCACCCACAAAAATACACAAGTTAATCCAATTGATTGACTTTGGGAAGTCTCCAGGAGATAAGAATAAATGGGGGTAATTTATATGATAGGGTAGATTTGAGGTGTGCTGTGGAAGACTTGATGAACAAATGGCTTTTTTTTGTTTTTTTGTTAAACCCATTGAGAACACCTCAAATTCATATAGTATGAACAGAATATTCATTGATGGCATTAAAAGAAATTAATCTTACTAAATAATTCCAGAAACGTCACTAACTCATATTTCTGGAATTTCCATGTGTAGATGGGATGCATGGACTTCTCAGTTTGGTTTGAATACTCTTAAGCATAGTGATGGGTTTCCACATGTGTCAGGCTGACCAAAAACCCCATCAAAATTCAGCCTATATGAAATGGTAGAAACACACTTTTTACATATAATCACAGCTAGGTTTTAATAACATAAGTGTATTCAAATAGTGAAGTATAAAACAGCAATATCAAAGCAGAAACAAGCAAGCAATTAGAACTTACCAAATTGTTCCTCTTCTTGCTGCAGTTCTGTCTTCAACCTGCTGTAATCTTCTCTGACTACTTCAAGTCTCTGTGCATTCCAGGTACTTAAAGCTTGCAAATCACAGCGAAGTTCTTCAAGTCTGCCTTTATCAGTAGTCAATGATTTGATCTCCTCAGAAAGGTCCTTAGCAGTGGAGAATTCATGCCCTTCGTAATGAAAAAGGTATCTCAAATAAAGTGCAAACTTCAGTCTTTACAGAAATCCAATTATGTGTAACATATTCCATTTTTGACTTTTTTTTAAAGCAGTATTTACTCAATAGTCTCCTTAGCTTATAAAAGACAGGAAAATAATAAAATTCACTCATTATTTAAAAACATTTGGGAAAAGTGTCCCATGTTTTATACTACTTTTGTAGAACTTTGCGAACAAATAGTGATTAAAATAAAACATAGCCAGACAATAAATCCCCAAAATAAACTTATCCAATTTTACAAGCTTGTAATTTTGTTAACCAGCGAATTACTTAAATTATGTTGGTTATCTGATACAGCTTACCTGAGACAGCTAACATTTTGGCTTCAAAGAGAATTGGAAGTTGTGTTTCAATGTCGCTCACTTTCTTCCTCAAGTTATTGCACAATTTCTGACTGCTAAAGGCCTAAATAAATAAACATCAAATAATCAGTTCATAAAGAAACAGAGATAAGTTGTGATTCATATCTCAACCATTGAAAGTAAAAAGTGGTTTGTTCACCTCACAAGATCAGTTTGAATGAAGACTCTTTGGCCCATTTGATCCCATTGTTCCAGAACACCCACTCTGCCATCCTCCCATCACAGCATCAAAAAACAATTAATCCAGTGTGCTGCCCTCAATGACACTTCCTGACAACCAATCATTACCTGGGCTCTGGGTAACAAAATACCTCCTGATGTCTATCCTGAAATCGCTCTTTGCAACTCTTGTCCTTTTGTTTTGTGTATCCTGAATTATTGTTCTGCACAGCCCCCTTATGCTGCTGACCAGAAATGCGTGCAGTGCGACCTGACCAGAGCACTATATAGCCTGAGGATAACATCTGAGGATCTGAACTCAATTTGGCTTGGATGCAGTTGTCTTTACATAGTGACAAAAGTAGGAAGAATCGCATGGGCTTACGAATGTCAACATCTTAAAGGTGGTCACTTCTGCATTTCCCTTATCCCCTTCACCCTCTTCCCTGCCACTAAACCTACAACCATCGCTTTCTACTCCTGGAATCCCTGCCACCACCACCCCCCACACATTACCCCTTTGCCCATCTTGATCTTAACTTCTCAGTCAATCTACTGAACAATTCCCTCGCCTCCACCTTCAGCACCTTCATTCCCATCACATCCCGTACTGCTTCTTTCCCCACAAGTAAACCTGTTACAACATCTACCTCCACTCCAGTCTAAGGCCAGTGTTGCTGAATGCACATGGCTCAAATCTGTCCTCTTGGTCCTTCGTCATATCTGGCTGGACCATATCAAAGACTACTATCATGCCCTTGACTCAACTAATCCCACCTTCTACTCCAGAATCACGCTGAGGAATCATGCAGAGAACTTCAAGCTCCTCTTCTTCACTACTGACCATCTCCGCCGCCCACCTTCCCATACTGTCTCCATTCTCAACTCGAAATCCAAATATAAGAAGGTGATGGACTTCCTCAGGTAAAATTTGAGGGATTTGCTCGGCTGCCTCTGCCAACTCCCTCCTATACGAATCCCCCCGCACCACTCACCTCACCCCTCTTTCCACACCTTTGACCTGGTCTCCCTCCCATCCCTCTCCCCGCTCAACCCTTGCATGTGAGGCACAATATATATGTAAATTGTTGTGTTTCTATCATTCTTCTCCCCACCCAAGAATGTACCTTCCGTGGACTGTGGGAGCCAGTAACTTTAATAGAGTGTCTGGAGGATGCCAAAAAATAACATAATAATATGGTTGAACAAATTTCTATGGCCTTCTCCTGTTTCTATCTCCCTATCGTAAAACCTTTTGTAGTTAAAATAAGCATTCTCTGAAACTGTACCAATGCAATCGTCAGTGGTGGGATTATTGTAGAAATAGGTACAAATCTTGCATTTCTTTACGCTATTTAGAAAAATATATTAATTTGAGCATTTCAATTCTTTACTTCATACATTTTCACTCTTGAGGATACATAAACAAAACCAAATAAAAGGAAAAAAATGTAGTGTACAGTAAAGTTACCATGATCAGAAAATACTGAAATATTGCAAAGGAGTTTTGTACGTATTTCTTAAAATTAGATATACATTACCTTGGCAGTTGTTGCCTTTATGGCAATGCTTAGTGATTGTTCTTTCTTCTGGAGCCTGAGAACAAAATATGTTTTCAATTACTCTTTCCGATAATTTTTAAGTCATTTTCTCAACTGTAATCCTAAGAACCACTCCCCAACTCAAAAAGCTTTTCTTAAGGAAATCAACACTATTTTCACAAGGGAAATATCGCAAGGGAAACACTGAAGATAATCATAAAATTACAGCTTTCCTCGCTCTCTATTTTTGTTCCTTTTTCTGATAAAAGTGCTGACTTATGTTTAAATCACAATATCATGAGGTTCAGATGAAGAGGCCACTTCAGCCCATTGACTGCATCCTTACACAATATCCACCTAAGCATCCTCCCATTGCCACATGGAACCTTTTTGTTACACAAGTTAATTTGGATGGCACCTTCTCAACTAAATCTACGAGGTTAGTCAGACAAGAACTCATGCCAGTTCCCATTTATTGGATTATCGTCAGACAAATCTTATGATGATCAACTCATAGTTTTCCAGTTATTGAAGTTAGAATAATGACAACTATGGTTCCATAGCACTGGGTCCCCACAGTACTTCACCCAAGTGGGCAATTCATCATGGTTGAGAGAGGGCAGTGAGGATCATCAGGGCATCTATTGGTTGATATCAACATACACTGCACAGATCCAAGAACCTTTCTGGTCTGCATGACTCAGTTCCACAGTGGACTGTCCCTTTACTAACAACAATGTCCTATAAACAGCCATAAAGTCAATAATCAATTTTATTTGGGGACATTGTTGACCAGGACATTGTGAGAAATTCCCTTCTTTCTTCGAATAGTGCCCTGTGCAATCTTTAATGTCCACTTGAATAGGCAGACAGGACCTCAGTTTAATGTTTCATCCAAAGGATGGCACCTCTGACGATGCAATACACCTCCAGTTCTCTACTGGAATGTCAGCCTAAAATATAGTAAACAGAGTTCGGAATATTTCTCAGGTCATCTAATACTATTTAAAAGAATCCTTGCATTGGATACATGCAGGACACGTCTCAAAGCACTTTACGAGATTTTACTGTAAAGTGTAATGACCACTTTGTACACGAATGTGGCAGCTAATCTGCGTGAGCAGTGTCCCACAAACAATCATGAAGTGAGTGATCAATTTTAATTAGAGGTTTGTTTTTCAATACACCTGGAGAAACTCCTTTTTTTAAAAAAAAGTAGTTCCATCAGATCTTTAACATATACATGTAAGAATTATTATTACTGCAGTTGTCCTCAATGACCCAGAGGTAACTGATCACTATGAAGTGTCTCCAGTTAGAAGGTGCTTGTGTATGGATGTCAGGTGAGAAAAGAATTGGGGATGGGGTGTGCGGTGTCAGATGTAAGCCCCCTATGCTGCCAAATATCCAGCCAACCCTAACTTTCTGCACTCACACAAGAATTCCCACTTTCCTGTGATACCAGATGGTGGCCAGTGCCCAGGGAAATGTATGCCTGCATGTGACTAACCTGTGGAGAGGAGAGGAAAAATTGAAGGAAAAACTACTCAATGTTAAATATAGACAATAGAAAACAAGAATTCTTCATAGCTTCTGGCAGTTAAAATGTAACAAATATACCAGCAAGGCAATTTGATAGTGAAGAAATTATTTGATATTTTCCTGACAAACATCATTACTCATAATATAAAATCTCAAATCATGTTTGTCCTTCAAAGACCAGTGCTAGAGGGAAGGGTCATCAGAATACATAGAAATCATAAATACATGTCTTCTCCAATTTAAGTCATGCTGCCAAACTAATAAAATATTCTAAAGTGTAGCTGACACACTGACTCATCACTTCAGCTTTTCATTTTTGGTTGTTTTAAATAAAAATATTCAATTTTTACTATGGAAAAAAATGTAAATGTTATGTTATGAAAAATTCAAGTAATTCTATCCATCTAAAATATCCTTGAATGTACTTTTTAGGGAGTTTTTCAGCAAAAACTAACACACTAACATAAGTGCAGATTGACGGGGATATTTAGTGAACAGACCTTGGAGATTCCTCCCCCTTTCAAAGACCAATTTTTTTCACCTTAATACGTAAATTGGTGTGAGGATAGGGAGAAGAAGAGTGAGCCTAGAACATTAACAGTTGATTTGAATATCCTCATAAGTTCACAAATTGGTTTGTTCCCAGACAGATTTGGAAGACTATCTTGTAATATTGATCCAATATTCTTTTACCTCTTTATATGTTCTGGAAGTTCTGCACTGAAGACAATTTGATTTCGCAAGGCCAGAATATCATTCAAAGATTTGTTCAGTTCTTGTAATTCATTAGCTGACACAGTTGATAAGAAACAAAGTTCAGAATCCTGTGATTGGATGAGTCTCTTTTCTTCTTCCATTGCCAAGTTCAGCTGATGATCTTTAGTTTCCAATACTACCAGTTGTCCTTTAAGATCAGCAATTTCTTTCTGTTTTGCAATAGAAAGCATTTCAATACGTAAACTGCATTCAAATATAATACTCATACCAACGCTACCAAATGCTCCGGGACGTTACCCCGCATTAACAGTGCTATATAAATGCAAGTTATTGTTGTTGTATTTTGGAAAAGTATGTCAGACTTTAAAAGTTTATTAGAATGTATTAAAATAATTTAAACTAAAATATTAATTAGATTTCAATTGAGTTTAACCTATTGGAAAGTATTTTATTTCTTTTTGTTTTAGGAGAAGTGTTCTGAGACGTAGTGTAGCACTCTGGGACACTATACCCTGTGTGAGAGGTACTATATAAATGTAAGTTGTTGTTGGTGTTTATTCATCTTTCCTTGTGTCATTTTTAAAAACTGGTGGTGCACATCACAATGAGGGCTGTCAGTGTTATGGATTAGATTAATCTCTTCTTTTTGCACTAATAATAGTTCAAGCTGTGGTACCAGATATACTAGGAATATCAGAATTAAATTTCTGAAACATTTGAATAAAGGCATCTGGTGTCTTTTTTTAGACTTGCGTGGCTTTAGATTGCATCATGCTTTGTAGAACTTCAAGCACTCTCATTTTTTTCTTTCACAGCACATCTTTCTCCTTCTATGGGAGGAAGCTTGATATTTCTGAAGGAGAGATGGTGTCTTATTGTTCAAGCCTCCTTGAAGACAGCTTATACTGTGTGCAATTTATCTAGTCTTTAGCAGATAACAGGCATCGTTTGATCTGACTGAATTATCCAAAGGAGCTTTACACAAACTTGTGTTGTATTTCGTTACATGTACATTCAATAAGAGAAATTACTCTGTCCAGATGGATATCATTAGTACAACCAGAGGGTGCTTCTGAAGCCCTGCTATTCTCTCAAGAATCTACAAGGATAATCTTATGTGTATCAAAGGGGGTGTTAGATTGAATTTTATGTTATATTAAGACAACTGAACTGTGAACTATTCATAACTGTGTGAATATTGTGCTGTGCTTTAATTTGTGCATTTTTTTAACATCAGCACAAAAATAGACAAGCTTTGTCCTTGGTGAACAAATTTTGAAAGATAACTTTTCTTAGTTTTCAGTGGCATTAGTCTCTTATGGCTCCGGTTTCTATCTACTCATCGTATGTTCACCCTTACACATTATCATCATCAAGTGGATTTTGTAAAGTTTTTTTTAAAAAATCTATTACATTTCAGTCTCTTAATCAATGATGTAATGAAGTGTGCATTACAAAATTTTCATTACGCAGATGGAGAAAAAGCTCTAGTAAAAACATTCTTCCGTTAAATGTTGAATCATTCACATTAATCATAGGTAGCCCAGAATAAAACATTGAAAGCCTCCAGCAACTGATTATGCCAGATTGATTCACAATGGGAGGACTGAGAATAAAGCCAGAATGTTTTCAGTCACATTTGGCCAAATGTCACATTTTGCAAGGAGAACTTACTTGTGTTGGAACTATGAATTGCAATAAAGCGCTTTGGGACATCCTCCCGATGTGAAAGGCGCTCTATGATTGTAATTTTGTTGTTGTTGTTGTTGAAGAACTGTCATCATACTAGATACTTGCATTTTATTGTGCTTTATCAGATTTGAAATGTCTCAAACCTAAACATGTAGCAAAGTACTGTTCACATACCCGCAACTTTTGCTTTTCTTGAATAAGCTGAGTTCTCCTTGACCATGATATCTGTAGGTTTACAGGACTTGTATCTGAAGCTTCATTTTCAAAACTTTTCAAGTGGAAATTACCTGCATTGCTAAGTACACAAAATGTTACAAACTACTCCTGAAAAAAATACATACATGGTTATGATTTGGAGATCATAAAAGATTAGCACACCCCAATACTGAGAAAAATTTATAAGAGTTCTCGACTTCCACACAAACAACTAAAACTTGAATAATAGCTGATTGTTATTGTTGCTAATTTACATTTATTTCTCTCAATCATTAAGTTTTGGCCACTTCTGATTCTATAGTTTCTACCCCACTTACTAGTTTGATGTCATGTACCAGTTTAACTACCTTGATTTTACCAATTTAGGCTTTTAGTGCAAAATAATGCATTTCACAGGATTTTACTGTGTACTTCTGACAAATGCAGCAGCTAATTTATATACAGTAGCCACAAAGTGAGTGATCTATTTGATTTAGGGGATTGTTCAGCAGGACATGAGGAGAAACTCCTTTTGTCTTTTCAAATAGTGCCATGGATCTTTAACGTCCACCTGAACAGGCAGACGGGACCTTAGTTTAACGTCTCATTTGAAGGACTAAACCACCAGCAATGCAACACACCCCCAACACTGCATCAGAGTGTAAGCCTAAACTGTGAGTTCAAATTAAAGTATACAAGCTTTCCTTCTAATCTTTGCCTTTATTTAAAAATTTTATATAAAGGACGTACTTAGAAAATATTGTAGAAGTCTCGTTCACAGGAACTTGTGCTTGAAGTTGGACTTTTTCCAAAAATCGTGCAATACAAGGTTGATAGGAAGGTAGCTGGAACTTTAAGGAACTCTTCTCCTGTTTCAGCTCTGCCAACTTCTTATTGAAACTATCAGCTGAGGTACAATTAGTGTTAAATTGTCATTATTATCATTCATGAAGGAAAAAAACACTTCTTTGTAGCATTAAAATTATTTGGTGGTTATTGTTACAAATGCAAACTGAAGTTTAACACTGAATGTCAGAAATTAATATTTTCAGATCTGAGTATAATACAATTGATGGTACACAAAGAGAAATATTCACTAAAACTTACCTTTTTCATAATCATCTTCCTGAACAGCTTTTTTCTGAAGCTTCTGCAGCTTCAGAATCAAGGATTGCAGCTGCACAGATGAAAAGCAGAACCAATAACTCAGCATGGTGAAAAGCAGAAGAACCAAAATGCAGGAAAATTGCTTGTGATATTGTTTGACAGTAAAATTGATTGGAGGTTTCCTAATACAATTAATTGGGAGGGGGGGTACATAGTATTATGAGTGCAAATGCTCTATATATATAATACATATAAAGGGAATATAACGGGGAAAGATAACAGAACTTGCATGCAAAGAAATGTTAAGCTTTTCTTGGAGGAATTAAAATAGCATATGGTTTTGTTCATACTTTTAAGGCTGCATTTACATTTCATTCACAATAATGCATGCAACATTAAACTGTTTGAAGTACTCCGATGATACTAGCCTTTATTTGTGTCCTGTTTTCAAGCAGACAGTCTTGAATAATCGGTTCATATTTCCTCATTAAAGAATTACATCTCTGGTCAACTGCAGTAATACTGCTCCCATACCCTGAAGTTACAGATGAACCAGCAGAAGAGCCGTCAGAAGAATCAGCTAAGAACAGAAGTGGGGCATCGGTATCTAATGACAGCAAGTCATAATCCTGAGGCCCATCCTTTGATTGTGTAGCTTTAACAAATTTATTAACATTTTGACAGGAATGCCAACAAGAAGTTTCAACATCTTCCCACAAACGTCTGGTGCAGAACTGCTCTGTTGCTGATGTACTAACTTTATAACCTTGGTTCTGCAGTGGTTCTTGTTTTTGTAGCAGTGAACCTGAAGCACACCTATCTTGCTGGAGTTCATTTACACAGTCAGAATTAGTATTGCTTGAATTTAATGACAACTGTATAAAACTGAAGCTGGAATTGAAGATATCAGCTAACTTGGCTTTCTCTTCGTCTGTATCCTGGGGCTGTGCTATTTGTATCTTTTCACTGTACAGTGGTTTATTCAGATCAGGCATTGATTGTGGCTTGGTAATATTCATAGTATTTTCATTTTTATACAGTGTAGGCCAGACATCCTGTTTCTGTCGACACCCTTCTGACAATTGCTCTGTAACAGTATTAATTTCCGTGTAACATGAACCACCACCACAGTCAGTCCACTGACAGTTTGCAGCAGAATACCGATTATTTTGTAATGGAATTATATTTGTCCCGAAAGTTGTATTTCTTGCAGATATGTGCTTTGAAGATGTATTCTGATGCTCTGTGATTTTGTTCTTCCTTAGACACTTTGGATTGTTTAAACAATGTCCCTCAGGTTTAATAATGTCAGAAGAAAAATCTCCGCAGGTATTTCTGTTGTTTTTTACCTGCTGTGGTGTCAAATGAAAACCAACAACTGGTTGGTGACTTAACTGTTCCTGAACATCTTTCTTCATGTACCCTGGTCTCTTTGAAAGTTTCTTTTTGCGACAATGAACTCCTGTTATTAATGAACCACAACCATCTAGAAAAATAAAAGAATTGCATCAGGTAAATTTTGTAGCACTTACTGTAAATGTAGTGACTGTGTATTTGTAGACAACAACAATGACTTGCATTTATATAGCGCCCCTCACATTGAGTAGTGTCCCAAAGCGCATAAGACAAACAAGACAGCCAATTTGTAAAAAGCAAACGCTACAAACACCCACAAAGTGAATGACCAATTTCATATGAAGGAATAGGATCGATCTGGATAGCTCTTTTAAAAGAGCCAGCACAGACATGATGGGCCGAATGGCCTCCTTCTGTGCTGTATAATTCTATGATTGTTAGCGAGGACACTGGGAGAAGCTCCCTTTTCTTTTTGAAGAGTGCCGTGCAATCTTTAGCATCCACCTAAACACTCGAGACATTCTCTCCATTTGCAACAAGGGCTCCTTCTACCTCCTCATTCTCTCTGCCGCCTTCGACTTCGTCAACCACTACCCTTCTCCATGGCCTCTCCTCTCTGCTCCACCTTCATGGTCTCTTCAAACGGCTTCTCCTCCTGCCCCCACACTGTCATATATGACATTCCTCAGAATTCTATCCTTGTTCCTCTCCTATTCACGGGCTATAAGTTCCCACCTGGTCAGATCGTCCACATACACTTCCACATGTACGCTGATGATACCTAACTTTATCTCTCTGCCTCCATCCTTGACTCCAAGATCAATACTATTCTGACCAATTCCCTGTCAGACATCAAGTCCTGAGCTCTAACTTTCTTCAGTTGAATGTTGACAAGATGAAAGCTCTCCTGTTTGGCTCCTGTCAGTGCCGTTTCACCTCAGGCACCGATAGCATCAACCTGTTCAACCTGCATGGATGCTCACTCTTCCATGAGGAGCCGGGGCGGACCTTTGTGTGTTGTTTGACTCTCAACTGCTTTTCAAACCCAACATCCGTGCACTGACCCATTCAGCTTTCCCCACCTCTAAAAATTGCACGCCTCCATCACTGCCTCTCCCTTCACGTTGCGAAGACCCACATCCATGCCATTTTCCATCTATGCTTAATAACACCCATGCTCTGTTCACTAGTCTCTCCAGCTCTTCCTTACACAAGCTCCAGAATATCCGGAACTGTGAAGGCCAAATCCTCTCCTGCACGGCTGCACAAACCCCATCCTCACTTAGCTCCATTGGATCCCTGTGGATCGAGTTCAAGAACCTCTTCTTCATGTTCAAATCCCTCTAGGTCTCATCCCACCCTATCTCTGCGACCACCTTCAACCACACCAATCCAGCTACTCCCTTCGCTCAGCGAATTCTGTCTCTCTTGATGTCCCATGCCCTATACACTCCACCAACACAAAGTTCCTCTGACTAAAAGGACTTCCTGCTTAGTATCACTGCAGTTTTGAGTTTCAATTACCAATTCTGAACTGTTTATGATATGTAATTTAGGCCCCACTGAGCATTCATTCCAAATTAGGCTGCTGTTATGATGCATATATTGTGAAATTATGAAAGCACTATCTGTTCTCTTGTGTTGTAACAATTTTTGGAAAAGGGAGTTTTTCTTTTCTGAAATCCACTTACTAAAATTGGGAATTTGTGATCAGACTTAAAAAATTACCAATGTTGCATAAAAGTTACTGATAAACAGAAAAGTATTCACCATTCATTGATCATTTTTATGCTTGAGTTTTATACCCATTGTAGAACATGTTTTGTAAATGTTTCACACTTCTCCAACTGAAGTGGCCTCTGGCTTACTCTTCGATAAGTTAATCAGATATGTGGATATGAGTCGACGTGTAAATATGTGGTTAATAAGTGAAGACTGTAGATATGCAGATAGTGGCATATGTTTTATAACAAGGTTAACCTCTGCCTTTCAAGCTTAAATAGATGGGAAAGACTTGTTCACTTGGGATGGCAAGTCCTTTTGAACGTGGTAGTGAAAAAAAAGGCCATAAACATTATTACACTATTATTACACTATTACAATATATAATAATCCTTGTATTTGATATAGCGCCTTATCATGTCTTCAAGATGTCTCAAGTGCTTCACAGAATACATTGTGAAGTCAATTGACTGTATATTTGTGGGCAAAATGCAGCAGCAAATTACGCACAGCATTTTTTTGGAGGGATCATTACCCCCAGAATGCGATCCACCAATCGTCTAACAACCAGTTTCCTACTTACCGCTAGGCAAACAGGCGTGTGGAGTAAGAAAACTTGCCTAAGGTTGTATACCCAGCCGGGAATCGAAACCCGGTCCTCTCACCTGCGAGATGAGAGCGCCAACCAGCGCACTGCCGGACTAAACCCCGCCAATCACTTTGGGACGTCCCCTCGACGCGCAAAGTGTTGTATCAAAATGCAAGGATCATTGCTGGAACCTGAAATACACAGTCGATTCACTTTACGGTGTGTTCTGCCAAGCGCTTTGAGACGTCTCGAAGATGTGATAAGGCGCTGTATCAAAGCCAAGGATTATTATTATTATTATTATATTATTATGGATCTCATGTTCAGTACCGAACACGACCCGGACTCCAGTTGAAGCAGCTCTGATGTGCAGCTGGACCAAAAACACTCCATGGCCTAAGAAAGGACAGGGAAAGCGACACCGATTGAGGAAGTGATGGGAGGGCAGAGAGAGAGAGAGCGGGTGAGGGGGAAGGGAGGGGTGAGGTAGTTGAGAAATTGCAGGCAAGAAAAGAAATAAAACGCCATCATGGAAAGGGAACAAATGAACTGCAATGATGTTGACGGAGGTGTTGTCGCTGGGCCCGGGGACTGTCACTGCTGCCTAGGGGGTGCTGGGGTGGGGGGTGCTGGGGTGGGGGGTGCTGGGGTGGGGTGGGGTGGGGGTGCTGGGGTGGGGGGGGCTGGGGTGGGGGTGCTGGGGTGGGGGTGGGGTGGGGGGTGGGTGGGGTGGGGGGGGCTGGGGTGGGGTGGGGGTGCTGGGGTGGGGTGGGGGGGGGGTGCTGGGGTGGGGGTGGGGGGGGGGGTGGGGGCTGGGGTGGGGGTGGGGGTGCTGGGGTGGGGTGGGGGCTGGGGTGGGGTGGGGGGGGGCTGGGGTGGGGGGCTGGGGTGGGGGTGGGGGTGCTGGGGTGGGGGTGGGGGGTGCTGGGGTGGGGGGGCTGGGGTGGGGTGGGGGTGCTGGGGTGGGGTGGGGGGGGGGGCTGGGGTGGGGGGGTGCTGGGGTGGGGTGGGGGGTGGGGTGGGGGGGGGGTGGGGTGGGGTGGGGTGGGGGGGTGGGGGGGGCTGGGGTGGGGTGGGGGGTGCTGGGGTGGGGGTGGGGTGGGGTGGGGGTGGGGTGGGGGGTGCTGGGTGGGCTGGGTGGGGTGGGTGGGGTGGGGGGGCTGGGGTGGGGTGAGGGGGTGGGCTGGGGTGGGGGCTGGGGTGGGGTGGGGGGTGGGGTGGGGGGTGGTGCTGGGTGGGTGGGGGGGTGGGGTGGGGTGGGGGGAGCTGGGGTGGGGTGGGGGTGGGGGGTGGGGGTGCTGGGGTGGGGTGGGGGGGGCTGGGTGGGTGGGGGTGGGGGTGGGGGTGCTGGGGTGGGGGGTGCTGGGGTGGGGTGGGGTGGGGGGGGGTGCTGGGGTGGGGGGGCTGGGGTGGGGTGGGGGTGGGGGTGGGGGGGTGGGGTGGGGGCTGGGGTGGGGTGGGGGGCTGGGGTGAGGGTGGGGGTGCTGGGGTGGGGGTGCTGGGGTGGGGGGGGTGGGGGTGGGGGTGGGGGTGCTGGGGTGGGGTGGGGGTGCTGGGGTGGGGTGGGGGTGGAGGGGTGGGGGTGCTGGGGTGGGGTGGAGGGGTGGGGTGAGGGGTGGGGGGGTGTGGGTGGTGGGGTGGGGTGAGGGGTGGGGTGGGAGGGGGGGGGGTGCTGGGTGGGGTGGGGTGGGGAGGGGGTGCTGGGGTGGGGTGGGGAGGGGTGGGCTGGCGGGGTGGGGTGAGGAGGGCCTCCAGACCCTCTCCGCTATTTCTGATCTTTTTTTTACCTGTCCGTGTCGCTCTCCCAGGCCACGAGTCGGCGCTGGTTCCGGGCCCGGAGGCTGTGGCTGTGGCTGTGGGTGAGGGGACCTTGTCCAGCAGCAAATCCATCTCAGCGAACATCCTCCACCTCCTCCTCCTCCTCTCCCTCCCCGAGCCCCGCGGTGCCGCCTGTCACCAACCGTAACGGTCCCCACCGGGCTGCGCGCGCCGCCCTCTAACGGTTTCTCTCACTAACCCCGCCCCGAATGACGTGCTCGCTCACTAACCCCGCCCCGAATGACGTACTCGCTCACTAACCCCGCCCCGAATGACTTAACCCCGCCCCGAATGACGTACTCGCTCACTAATCCCGCCCCGAATGACTTAACCCCGCCCCGAATGACGTGCTCGCTCACTAACCCCTCCCCGACTGACGTGCTCGCTCGCTCACTGACTGCTCCTCGGTGTGCACACTGTCTGTCTGTCTCGTCTGTCTACTGCAACAGCTCCAAAGGAGAGTATGAAATCCACGTTACCCACTTTACAATCGATATTAATAATTCTTGCATTTGATATAGCGCCGTATCACGTCTTCTAGACGTCTCAAAGTGCTTTGCAGAATATACTGCATACTGTGTATACTGTGTATAATTTTTTACACTGTATATTTGTGGGCGAAACGCGGCAGCCGATTGCGCACAGCAGTGTCCCGCAAACAGTCGTGGATGGAATGACCAAATTATTCCCCTCCCCTCGCCTCCCTCCATTGCCACCTTCAAGGTCCGTCTCAAAATCTCCCTCTTTGACCGTGCCTTCACCATAATAATAATCGTTGCATTTGATATAGCTCTAGATGTCTCAAAGCGCTTCACAGAATATATTGTAAAGTGAATTGACTGTATATATGTGGCAGCCAATTGCACACAGCAGTGTCCCACAAGCAGTCGTAGGTTGAAGTGACCAATTTATTTGAGGGATTATTGTCAGGCTTGCGGAGTAAGGAAACTTGCCCAAGGTTTTGCCCTGCTGGGAATCGAACCCAGGTCGTCACTCGCTTGCGAGGCGAGTGCTCTAACCACTGAGCTACAGAACTCCACACCCACCCCTTGATCCCGCCCCCACCCCCACCTCTCTTGAATCCAACACCCAGCTTGAGTGCAAACTCTCAACTGTCCAGCACCTTGGGAGATCCTCCTGATGTCTTGATCCTCCTCTTTGACCGAGCCTTCAGCTCCCCTCTCGACTCTCTTCCCCCTCCTCGCTCCCTCCCTTCCCTCCCCTCACCCTGACCATTTCCCCCCTCCTCGCTCCCTCCCTTCCCTCCCCTCACCCTGACCATTTCCCCCCTGCTCGGGTCATGACCCAATCTGTGCAGCACCTTGGGACGTCCTCCTGACGTGAAAGGCGCTTTATAAATTGAATCTTGTTGTTGTTGTTGTTGTTCATGTGAAATGCGCTATATAAATGCAATTTGTTGCATTTGTTGTTTACTCCCTTTCCAGCTTGGAAGCAGTGGGACCATAAGTGTTTAATACTTTGGCACAGTCGAACAGGTCTTTTTGGTCTGGATGAATCAGTCCCACACCAGGCAGTAAAAGTAAAATCAGCAGTTAGGAGAGCTAGTAACCATTAACCTTCATACTAGTGAAGAGCATTGTAAAGGGACTGGGATAAGGAAAAATAAAGGCTACTTGCTGGAGATTATGTAAATCCAACAAGAATGTTGTAACGAAAAATAAACCCATCACATACGTAATTGTGGAGGTCATCGTTGGAGAGGTATATACAAAGTTAATTCAGCATTCCCACTTCTCTGAAATGTACCAAAGGCCTTTCCAGGTATACCTGGATTCTCCATTTCAGGGATATACTTCTCTTCGCCATCAGAGCACACTTGGTTCACACTCCTGATTTCTCTCCTGCTTGTACCCCTAAGCATCCTTGAATCCAGGACCACTGGTGTCCTGACAGAATGTCTGTCAGACATCAAGTCCTGGATGAGAGCTAACTTTCTTCAGTTGAACTTCAACAAGACCAAGGCTCTCCTGATTGGCTCCTCACCTCAGGCGCTACAGCATCACCATCCATGGTGCACACTCCACCTTACTAAGCCAGTCCGGAACATTGCTGTCTTGTTTGTCCCTCAACTATCCTTTCTATCCCACATCCATTCCATGTCCCGCTCTGCCTTCCTCCACCTCCACAACATCGCCCGGTTTCATCACTGTCTCACGTCACAGGCTGCCATGCACGCATTCATAACATCCAGGTATCGACTATGCAAACTCCCTGCTTGCCGGCCTCACCAACTCCTCCCTCCATAGGCTGCAGATCATCCAGAACTCTGCAACCCACTTCCTGTCCCACACATGGCTCCGCGACCCTACCACCTCCATCCTCGCCCGACTCCACTGGCTTCCCATTACACAGAGGATACAGTTCAAGATCCTGGTCCACACCTTCAAAGCCCTCCACGGCCTTGTTCCCCACTACCTCTGCAACCTTCTAACACCCTACCAACCTGCCCGCTCCCTCCACTCAGCGGGCTCCGGTCTGCTTCACGTCCCCGCCTCGCCTGCCTCACCATTGGCAGGCAGGCCTTCTACCACTTTGCCCCCACCCTCTGGAACTCTGTCCCGCAGTCCCTTCGCCTCGGCCCCTCCCTTGCCTTCTTCAAGACCCTTCACAAGACCCTCCTCTTTGACCGTGCCTTCATTCACCCTTCTTCCCCCCTTGCTCTACACGCTCCCCGATCCCAACCCCGACCCCCAGCTCGAGTCCGAAACATTGATATGTCCAGTGCCTTGAGACGTCCTCCCGATGTGAAAGCCGCTATACAAATGTCATTTTGTTGTTGTTGTAAGAAGTTTGAAGCTGATCCTTGCTAACCAGTGCCAGCTGCCACCCCCTGTGATACAGCATACTACAATAAAATGGTGGCTGCATGTAGTTATTTTAATAGAAACGCACATTTTAGTACACTTGGAGTATATAGTGCCCTTCACATAGGGTAACATTTCAGAGTTCTACATGAAGACAAAAACAAAGTATTGATCCTCAGCTATCCTTCCTATCCAGTCCCTGACCAGGACTGCATTCCTCCGCCACATTTCTCGTTTCCAACTGTACGTCACAATCAACACAACTGAATCCCTTATCCATGTATTCATCATCTCTCACCTTGATTATTTGAATGCTATATAAATGCTAGTTGTTGTTGTTGCATGAAAGAGAGGTACTTGAAGGGATATAATAATAATAATAATAATAATAATAATAATAATAATAATAATAATCCTTGCATTTGATATAGCGCTTTTCACGTCAGGAGGACGTCCCAAAGCGCTTCACAGAATACACTGTAAAGTGAATTGACTGTATATTTGTGGGCGAACGCGGCAGCCAATTGCGCACAGCAATGTCCCACAAACAGTCGTAGATTGAAAATGACCAATTTAATTATTGTTTTTGTTTTTTTGGAGGGATTATTATTAGGCGTGTGGAGTAAGGAAACTTGCCCAAGGTTTGGCCCTGCCTGGAACTGAACTCAGGTCTCTCGCTTGCAAAGCGAGTGCTCTAACCACTGAGCTACAGGACTCCACAAGATATGGGGTAAGATGGGGTGGTGGGCCGGAAGTGGTATCTTTGCTCTGTCACCCAGTGCAGACTTTATAGATCAAATGACCTCCTTCTGTACTGTAGATTTCTACGTTTCTGTGAATTCTTATACTGTACTATACTTTTAGATTAATGGCATTCAGTACCAGGTACTTCCTGCTGGTGGTGACAGTGACCTCTAATTGCTCAAAAGCATCACAAGTGAGAATTTAATTCTACAATAATTGTATGTTTTATTCTATTATAATTGAATAGTTAGAAATTAGTTAAAAAAATGTTAGGTGGCTATGAGTAAATATATGTTCATGTTGTCTTTACCCAATATGTATTGGAGTCCTTTTGGCTTCAAGTTCCAGCAATTTCTAGATTTAAATGTTCAGCCTGGCTCAGTTAATAGCACTCTGACTGTACTGTCACTACTGCGTCAGGTGTGAGTTTGAGTAATTTCCACAAAGAAAATCATTCAGCACTAAAGCTGCCAAATATTTCAGTCCAGTGCATTTTATAGTCTTAATGAAAAATGCACTCAAAAGCAGAATGTAAAATAATACAAAAGTGAAACCATAACCACTCAAACAGCTACACACAGCTATTTGAATTTCAGAATTCTGCTTTATATAACTAATGATAAAATTAGGATCAAAATGCTAATTTTGTTTACTGGATGTCTAATTCTACAGGCATTAGAAAAGCATTGAAAAGCACAATAGTGAAGTCAGAGTTGGACTGTTGCATCGCTGCATAACTTTACCTTCATGCACATCACCATGGTTACTGGAGAGTCCACATCCAGTACAATTGATGTGACAAAAATTGAATGTACTGATAAATTAATACCAAGCGGAAAAATGGAATAAATAGAGTTATTGTAGAGATGGAGCAACCCAAATCTGATTTCACTGAAGCGCTTTTCACCAGTTCATGAAAGGGCTTTTGTGTGATGAACGCCACATTATGCAGCTCCATTCCAGAAGTCAACATGACATCTGATTACCTGTTTCTGCTACAGAAATGGAAATTTTGAGGAATTGTTAGAAAAGCGCAAATGACTCGAGGATTAATAAGCTCTCTATTTTCACACAAAGCTCTGGTGCAGATACGTGTTCAGTTTGTGGTCCCCAGGTACCACATAGAAATCCAAATGGCAGTAAAACTAGAGTAGTTCACATAACACATATCTTTCATTGTAACTGATGCCAAAGTGCTTCAGGAAATCACTGTATTTAAGCAACACTACACTTCAGTAGACAAGGTTAAAAGGAGAATCTAATAAAAATGTTCAAAAGTAAAAATGGGTTTGAGAGGATAAATAATGCCACAATATTTCATGATTAATGAATTGGCAGCAGGAAGGCAACAACAACAACAACAACTTGGATTTATATAGCGTCCTCCACGCCGGACGGCGTCTCAGAGCGCTTTACAGTTTATGATCCCGGGACCGAGTCAGGGGGAGGGGGAGGAAGGTGACCAAAGGCACGGTCGAAAAGAGAGGTCTTCAGCAGAGACCTGAAAATGGGAAGGGAGGAAGCGAAACGAAGGGAGTAAGGAAGGCAGTTCCAGAGTCTCGGGGCATAGTGGCTGAAGGCACGGCCGCCGAGGGTGGAGCGGAGGACTCAGGGGACAAGGAGGAGGCCAGACCCGGAGGAACGAAGGCAATGGGTACTGTGCTGAGGAGAGAGGAGGTCAGAGGGGTAGGGGCGTGAGAATGCGGGCGGAAGAGTTCTGAATGAGTTGGACGGTAGGCATGTAAGACTAAACACTATTCAAATAGAGAAGTGAGTTTTTTTCAGTGTTCCAACCAACAATCCCACAGATAAATGAATCATTTACTTCATGGCTATTTTGGAACACCCAAAATTGTGCAATTGGCTCTGCATTCATCTACAAAATATACAGTCATTAAGCTTTGGAGTACGTTCTGCGAAGCACATCGAGGTCTCCTCCTGATATGAAGACATTATATCAGTAACAATAATAATAATAATAATAAGCCCAACAACTGACTGCAAATTCATTCCCCACATCACTGCACTTGGTAGTGAAATTCTGTGAAGTACTTCGAGACATCCTCCAGATGTGAAAGATATCTTTCACAAAATGTGAGATTTTCTACTTGTTTTGAGTCTATATTATAACTATATTCACATTGGAAATATCTCCAATCACTTTACAGAGAAAGTATGGATCACTGAGTAAGGTGGAAAGAGGTGGTATTGTGAATGTTGAAGGCAAGATCAAATAGATAGTTTAAAAATATTTTGAATGATAAAACATCTAAACCTTAAATTAACCATTTCATTTTTTAACTTTCTCAGTTTGTCAACTAGATTTGTTTAATTCTACGCTGGAAATTCATATTCTGTGTATTAATATTTTCTGCCTTCAATAATAATGATAATCCTTGCATTTGACATAACATTTTATCATGTTTTTAAAACATTTCCAAAGATTTCACTGGATTTTACTATAAAATGTTTGTAGGTGGATGCAGCTAATAAGATTATAAAATTATTGGCATTGTAAGCAACAAGCAATTTACACTTAATCTGGTAGCAACTAACTGCTCATTGGGTTAATCACTAAACTACAGAAGATATATACTGTAAAGGCTAAGAGGAAGATGCATCATCCTTATTGAAAAGACTTCCCACTGAGACCCTCACAAATGCCTTCTCATCCGTAGGTCTCCTCTCCCTCTGGCCTTCCACCCGCAGCGACCTGATGCAGCCGTCAAACTGCTCCATGATCGCCTCTCCTCCACCTTCAACTCCCTTCTTCCCCTGAAATCCAGGGCTCCCCCTGGTACAACAGCCATCTCCGCTCCCTAAAATCACAAATCCACTTGCTCGAGCGCATAGGGCAGAAAACCAGTCTCACAGTTCACCGCCAGCTGTGGCTCAACCCCCTCCCCACCCAGCTTCTGATCACCCAGCTCTCCCTCCTCTGCTGGCAGACACAATTAATCAGTCCCCCTCCTCAGAATTAGTCCCATTCCCTCTCAAAACCGCCGTCATCACCTCCCTCCTTAAACAACCTATCCTCAACCCCTACAACCTCGTGCACTACCACCATATCTCAAATCTGCCCTTGCTGGCCAAAGATTTAGAACTTGTTGCCACCAACTTCGCGCACACCTCTCCCTCCACTTCCTGTTCGAACCCCTCCAGTCTGGTTTCCGCCCTGCCCACAGCACAGAGACAGCGCTTGTAAAAGTCACAAACAATGTCCTCTTTATCTGTGACCAGGGCTCCCTCTGCCCCCTCGTCCTCCTGGTCCTCTCCGCCGCGTTCAACACAGTCAATCACACCATTCTCCTCCACCACCTCTCCTCCATTATCCATCTCAGTGGGACCGCACTCACTTGATCCGAGGCCTGCCTTACAAACTGCCAGCACTACATTTCAACAAATGTTTTTTCTCTGATGTTTTGTCAGCTTGTCTGACAGACATCAAGGCCTGGATGAATGCAAATTTCTTGCAGTTAAATGTCAACAAGACGGAAGCCATACTATTTGGCTTCCATCAACATCTTCTGTCCTGTGCCTCAGACGTCCTCAACCTACCCAATCTGTCTTTAAAACTCTCTGAACCCATCCACAACTTAGGCGTCAGGTTTGATCCCAGTTATCCTTCCTCCACCACATCCGGTCCCTTACCAGGACCGCTTCCCTCCACCTTCACCACATTGCCTGTCTCCGACAATACCTCACTCCACAAGCTGTTGAAACTCTTGTCCATGCCTTTGTCACTTGTTAGAAACATTTGCAACTATCTCCAACAATTTTGGAATGATCCGATTCCAGTTTACTAATTGGTTAAGTCACTTTATTCATGTCAAACAGCAGGTAATACACAAATAAATTAAACAATAATACCCAAGACACAAAACGATACTACCGGATTTCTCTTACAGCCCTGGTTGTCTCTCGCACTGCTCTGCTACCATTCCGGAGATATATCTAACACACCTTTGTTTAAAGACAACTTAAAAACTCCAGCAAAAGCTGTCTTTTTTTAAGAAAAGCAACTCCTTATATGGTTATATCCAAAATATGTTTCAATTCTCCCATTTACTGCATTTTATTCTCTCCTGATTAGTCCCTTCGTCCAGTTTATAAGGTTGAATATACTTTTTGTGTCCTGTACGTCCTGATCTTATTGTTTTGGGTTCTGCCTTGCAGTTACTTAGGTTTGCAGCCTTTGCACTTCTATTTTATATTCTTAAAACACACTTTAACATTAACCCATGACAATAATTATTTTATATTCTCAAAACACACTTTAACATTAACCCATGACAACACACTTCTTGGCTGCACTACTCTAACACCTTCCTCGCCGGTCTCCCCTCCTCCACTATTTACAAAATTCAACTCATCCAAAACTCCGCCACCCACATTCTCACCCGCACTAAACTCCACACCCCAATTATCCCAGTCCTTGGCAAACTCCACTGGCTCCCTGTCACAGAACGGATCGACTTCAAGATCCTCATTCTAGTGTTTAAATCCCTCCATGATTTGGCACCTCCCTATCTCTTTAACCTCCTTTTCCCCACAGCAGTACCCGCTTCAGCCTCCTCGTCCCTCGAATCCTCTGCTCCACCATCGGCAGCCGTGCCTTCAGCCACTACACCCCAAATCTATGGAACTTCCTCCCTCAATCCCTTCGCCTTGCCCCCTCTTTCCCCATTTTCAGGTTGTGCCTGAAGACCTTCCTCTTCGACAGAGCCTATGGTCACCTTCCCGCTTCCCCTGGCTCGGCATTGGGCTTGGCTACCAAGCGTAGAGGGCGCTATATAAATGCGAGTTGTTGTTATTGTGCCATCTGTTAAGCACAAAATAAAATATCCTATGTGATAACATGTTCACTGCGAAAATATTTTTGGTTGCCTAGGGTATATCTTTTGTACATCAACAAACCACGCAACACTGGAATGTTTGCAGGGTGAACAGGAGTAACAGGAGGTGAGTGTGAAGAATACATCCTCCCAAATCCCAGGGTTGCCCTGCCATGGTCTGGCAATGAGCCAGGCTTGCTGGTTTGTCATCAGCAATTCCCTAGATTACTGTAACTCCTCTTAGTGGATTGCAAAGACCACCACAGGGCTGATTCAATTCTAGCATTCTGTTGACAAGCACATGACCTTGGAGCCAGCTCAGCGAGCCCCCTCGCCCCAGGAGCATAGTCACTATTTGGTCATTTGCTATCTAACAAGTACAGGCTTGAGCCCTAACTGGTTAAGCAGATACCAGGAACTCCCTGCAAGCTTCCTATTGAGCTAAGCCTTTTTTCTAACATTCACATTCCCAAGAGTGAGTACTCTCCAAGGGTAAGAGAGTTTTTATGGGTGGCAAATAGGACGCTCATCCAAAGAGTTAATGAAATACATTTTTAATTATTCCCTCATAATAATCTGCTCCATTTTAAGTTCATTAAAGAATAATACATTCTGCACGCTGTATTTATTTCAAGGCACTTTGTTGGTCAAACCAGTAGCATAAGTCAGCAAGGTAAATATTTATACATTTGTAGCTTAATCACATAATTGCAAATTCGGCCTTCATTACAAAGATACATTAGGTTTACAGGCCCCACCATTTCTCCACAATTACGACTGTGATATTCATTCAAATCAACTGATCAAGAACAACTCATCAGACACAATTTAATTTGACTTCATATAAGTGAAACATTTTATTTGGAAGAACTGATCAGAAGATCGTTTCATATGAAAAAAACTTTTCTGTCCATTTGATCTCATCCTTTCACACTAGTTTCTTCCAGTTATAACATTAAGCTTTTTTTTATATAGCGTCTTGACCTCAATCATCCTCCATACTATCCACATTTTTTCCAGTGGATAATTACTCTCTGGGTAAAGAATTGCCTCTTAGTATCTGTCCTGAAATTGCCTTTTGCAACCTCAAACTTGTGTCTTCTTGATTCAGTATTTGTTTCCTACAGTTCGCAAGAAACATTTAATTTGTACGGCCGATGTAGTGATTTTGAACATCACAAAGTCATCTGTTATTCCAAGAATTATAAATAGTCTGATTCATGATTTTCATTGTGCTGGTGAGAGTAAAATTGTCAAGATCCAATAACAGACTCAATGGGATGAATGGCCTCCTACAGTCCATAATTTCCTATGTCCCTATGACTATCTTGAAGAGATGGTTTCAGAACTACTGTATTGCCCTTGATTCTCCAATCTCCAATCAATATATATATAAATGCAGTGTAAATATATGATAAGAATTAATACCAGCTCCACATTCCAATGTCCTCTTGAAAATTCTTGGGTGGTACAATAGTTGGCCCAAGAATTTTCAAGGAAATTGTTTTTCTAATGTTATTGAATAGCCAGTTGCATAACTAACTTTTTAATAAGATTGAAAAAATAAAATTTTATGCACACACTTGCAAATGTGGAGAACTTTTAGATTGTTCATTCCCCTTTCAATAGTACAAGATCAATGAGGTGAGCGAGGAGTGTAATCCAGTTCAGAAGATAATAACAATAACAATAAATTATATTTATATAATACCTTTTACGAAATAAATCACAAGATCACAAGAGAGGTTAAGTTGAAGGAAGCCCTTAGACACAATTGATCTCCTCTTTCTTACCATCTCCCCATCACAGCATCAAGCTATTTTTTAAATGAATCTAGTATCCTGATCCTTCCTGATATTCAGTTAAATTCAGCATTGAATATACCATAATAGTTTGTCTAAAAAGTATGAGTTTTCCACAAAAAGATGCTAAAAATGTTAGAAAAGATTATTGTGTTATTATTATATTATACATTATGTGTATTTATTGCAAAGGGAGATTTTTTTTTTATTCCAGGCAAATTTGAATTGGTTGAGTGAAAATGGTCTGGGTGTTGTAGCGTATCTGCAAACTGGTTAATCATGTTCTTTTCATTACTTACTAAACTGAAAGCATTTTGAAATTCATCTTCAACCTGACTCACAAGCAATGTGGTGGAGGTCACTGGCTGGGTTAGAACATTATTTACTTCATATTTTAAAAATTATTTTCTCCTAGGTATATGAATTATCCCATTAATAATATTTTTCATATTGGTCAAATATGGAAATATAGAGCAAAAATCAATACACACATTAATAAAAAGTTAATATGATTAATGCTTATTCTTGTCCCACTTCCAGTAAATGATATTCTTTTTTCAACAGCGGGATAAATTCGGCCCCTTTGTTTGATATAGTTTGAAACTACTTTAACATCCATGGAACCTGGAACAACAAAATAATATTTTATTCATCAAGTAACATTCATGTAAATAGTGCCAGAAAATAGCATTTGCACTGATTGCTGATTGAAAGTGGATCTAATATCTGGCAATTTATAAAGGCCCTTCATAAGGACCATATGGAAACTGGGTGAGGACTCCTTTCCACTGGATTGCTTTAGGGCAAATTTCACATGAATTAAATGACTTTCTTCTTTCTTCTGCATTATTATGGAATCTCATTACTTACTAAACTCACTGCATATTGGAGCGCAATGTATGCTTACCAATGTCATGCTTGAGGTTTTCATTTTTCAGCATGCTGAAACTATCTCCTCCTCCAGCCATGAATGAGTTAACAACTATTTTGTAGATTTTCTGGTTTTCAACTGGCTCATAGTGTGGTACCCGACAATCTGCGCATAGAATTTCCAACAAAACCACTCTTTCACCAGGATTTCTGCTGAGGTCAAAACTCACATGAATACCTGGAACAATACATAATGTCAGAATTGCCAAATCTAATTTGAGTGTGCTGGTATGTGGCATTTTAGATAGCAATGCCTTAAGAGACAATTTAGAGTTTTATTCTGTTTCTGTGTGAGGAAATGACATAAATGGTATTGTATAAATGCATTCAAGAAGAAGCTAGACCATCACATGAGAAAGTGGGGAATATAAGAGTATGGGAGGCAGCAGGGAATGTGTGGAAACTCGCAGTTGGGTCGAACAACTTGTTTCCATGTAACTAATAAATCACAGATGTGTAGCCATTTCCTTTAAGCTTTCCAAACAATATAAAGGAACTCATTGGGGTAAAAGAAACCTAAGAATATCTGAATCACAGCAAAATGTCCTGGTGCTGTGAAACACAATGTAAAGGATTTCAGTTTATGGCAATTTATTTAAAAAACTGTACATTTTAAATTGAAATCTGCTGGTCTGGACAACTTAACTTCAAAAGAACATTAAAATATTAGGTAGCACACAGAGAAGAGCAACAAAAATAATTCTGAGGCCAAGAGCTTTGCGTTATGAAAGGCTCACAGACTTGAACTTCTATTAATTTAAGTAAAAAAAATTGAGGAGTGGGCATGATACAGGTCTTCAAGGTGATATAATGAGTTGTAGATGATGTCAATGTAAGTAGGCATTTTGACTGAAGAGCAAGCTAAAAGTACATACATTTTGAAATTGAAGAAAGCGTGAAGCCGAACAACAGATAATGTGTTTGTTTAATTGGATTTTCCTCGCTCTTTTGTGTTATAACTGCTTAAATTTGATATTTTCAAAAATATTCATACAAGTATTTATCTTATAATATTAATCCTCAAACTCAGGAAAAGTTAAAGAGAAATTATGTTTTTTAAAAATAGCCAGGCACAAAAAGGTTTATGAAGATTGGAACCACACTAAGATATGAATTAAATTAGATTAATTAGATGTCAGATTTCAGCTTGTTTGACACGTTTACTCTCTGCATTTTACAACAAAGTATTAAGTTAAAGTATTAAGTTAAAGTATATTTGTGGAGTCCTGTAGCTCAGTGGTTAGAGCACTCGCTTTGCAAGTGAGAGACCTGAGTTCAATTCCAGGCAGAGGGCGAAACCTTGGGCAAGTTTCCTTACTCCACACGCCTAATAATAATCCCTCCAAAACCAAAAACAATAATAAATTGGTCATTTTCAATCTACGACTGTTTGTGGAACATTGCTGTGCGCAATTGGCTGCCGAGTTCGCCCACAAATATACAGTCAATTCCCTTTACAGTGTGTTCTGTGAAGCGCTTTGGGACGTCCTCCCGACGTGAAAAGCGCTATATCAAATGCAAGGATTATTATTATTATTATTATTATTATAAAATATGAAAAGCAATGATCTAAGTGGTTGAAGTGTGGATGCTGAAGTCATCAGGATGGGTATTCCAGAAGGAAGACATCAGGTAAAATGGGCTGAACGGCTTTCTTTATATAAAACTCTGTTGTGAACTCAGTTAGTAAAGGCACTCCCCTGATCCCCACAGACATGAATAATAAATAATAATCTTTCCTTTTGATATAATACATTTCATGTCAAGAGATATCTCCAAGCGCTTTGCAAGATTTACTGTAAAGTGTATTGACTGTACTTTGTAGGTGAATGTAGCAGCACAGAGCAATGTATGACAAACAACCAGGAAGTAAATGATTGATTTTATCTGGGGGTTTCTTGGCCAGGACACTTGGAGAAACCCCCTAATCCGTTGGGAGGGGGTGGAGTCTGCACTTGGTAATGGCGGACGGCATTAATGCTGAGCTCTTTAAAGCTGCGAGGGTGGGAATGGAGGATGGTGACACATCAAAGCCAAGAACTTCCTAGTGCTGGTCAATAGAACTCTCTCTGAGGCATGCAGTCCTGTAGCTTAGTGGTTAGTCCGCACTCCTCGCAAGCAAGAGACCTGGGTTCGATTCCTGGGTGGGGCGAAACTTTGGGCAAGTTTCCTTACTCCACACGCCTCTGTTTACCTAGCAGCAAGTAGGAACCCGGCTGTTAGTTGATTAGCGAATCGCTTTTCCGGGGTAATATTCCCTTCAAAAATTATATATTAAAAGAATAATAATTTGGTCACTCAATCCATGACTTTATGGATAATTGTGCGTAATTGGCTACCGCATTTTGCCCACAAAATATGCAGTCAATTCACTTTACAGTATATTCTGTGATGGCTTTGAGACTTCTCAAAGATGCGATAAGGCGCTATATCAAATTCAAGGATTATTATTTGTATCAGTGTTCCAGAGTGCAATTGTGGTTTCTATCCACAAGAAGGGCGATCCCAGTGAGACCAAGAACTACAGAAGGATCTCATTGATTTAAGTAGCTCTTACAGTGGTGCTTCGGGAAGTCACTGGATATGTATTGCAAATATAGGAGGCTTGTGGTTTAAACAGGAAGGAACAGGCTGGATTGCATTCTCATGAGGAAAGTGTGAGACAGATTGTGTTTTTTTGTGATGAAGCAGGCCACAAGGAAAGCCACCAATGTTGTCTTCATCAATTTCCGGAAGACTTTTGGCCGAATGCCTCAAAAAGCCCTCATAATGAAACTGGAAAGCATGGGAAATTTGCTTCCAATAATAATTCTTACATTTGCTATAGAGCCTTACCAGGTCTTTGAGACGTTCTCAAAGCTCTTCACAGAATGTACTGTAAAGTGGATTGATGGTGTGGTTTTTTTAGTGGGAAGAACTCCGACTTGAACTTAATGTCTCATTCAAAAGGATTCCACCTCCAACAATGAGACACCATTCCACCGCCACCCAGCACTGTATTGAAGTGACAGTCTAGAATGTGAATTCAATGTCCCAAAACGTGGCTTGAACCCCACAACTTTAAAGCTGCGAGGGTGGGAATGGAGGATGGTGACACATCAAAGCCAAGAACTTCCTAGTGCTGGTCAATAGAACTCTCTCTGAGGCATGCAGTCCTGTAGCTTAGTGGGTAGTCCGCACTCCTCGCAAGCAAGAGACCTGGGATCGATTCCTGGGTGGGGCGAAACTTTGGGCAAGTTTCCTTACTCCACACGCCTCTGTTTACCTAGCAGCAAGTAGGAACCCGGCTGTTAGTTGATTAGCGAATCGCTTTTCCGGGGGTAATATTCCCTTCAAAAATTATATATTAAAAGAATAATAATTTGGTCACTCAATCCATGACTTTATGGATAATTGTGCGTAATTGGCTACCGCATTTTGCCCACAAAATATGCAGTCAATTCACTTTACAGTATATTCTGTGATGGCTTTGAGACTTCTCAAAGATGCGATAAGGCGCTATATCAAATTCAAGGATTATTATTTGTATCAGTGTTCCAGAGTGCAATTGTGGTTTCTATCCACAAGAAGGGCGACCCCAGTGAGACCAAGAACTACAAAAAGATCTCATTGATTTAAGTGGCTCTTACAGTGGTGCTTCGGGAAATCACTGGATATGTATTGCAAATATAGGAGGCTTGTGGTTTAAACAGGAAGGAACAGGCTGGGTTGCATTCTCATGAGGAAAGTGTGAGACAGATTGTGTTTTTTTGTGATGAAGCAGGCCACAAGGAAAACCACCAATGTCTCATTCAAAAGGATGAGACACCCTTCCACCGCCACCCAGCACTGTATTGAAGTGACAGTCTAGAATGTGAATTCAATGTCCCAAAACGTGGCTTGAACCCCACAACTTTCTGACTCGGAGGTGAGAGTGCTGTCAACTGAATCAGCCTTAACCACACTGTCTGTTTAGTTAGTTAACTCATTTTAGGTTAAAGTGTGCGTTCTGTAATATAAAGCTCAGTGTCCTATGTTAAACTGTGTGTCTATTGAATGTTGAGTGAAGAAAGGATCTGGCCTCCCTATGATTATATCACCTACAAAACTCTAGGCTGATAACTAAGTGATGGCCACTTAGATGATATATTGGGGTCTTTCAATGCATGTAGGAACTTCAACAAGAATCTATCAGTACATTCTGGTGAAGAGAAGAGAAAATTGCTAAGTGAACGCATTTGAAACAAAATCTTACCAGACACTTGCAAGAATTCTCCTGTATTCCCACCATATCTTCTAACAGAATGTTCAAACGCTGCTTTTAATACCGATCCTTTGATCGCTATCATATCAAAAGTACCTCCAAATGGTAAAACATTGGAAAGATCTTCCAAGGTTATCATTCCTACATAAACAAAAAAAAGGTAATCAATTGATTTGTTGTAACTTGTAATCTATCACTTCAGTCACAAAAACATGACAGAAGATTTTTATTTTCACTCGAAACTCGTCTGTTATTGTTAACTCAACTTGGCTAAATTAGTGCTGATTTTGTAAATGATTCCCTGGCAATTTGTACTTGGCGGAAACCATGGGAACCAAGTTCATAGCAGTCCCAGAAGTTAGTATAACACAAAGCAATTTCCCACCTCCTGAGCCAATGCAAACCAAACTTGTCACTCCAGACCAGAATTGGAATAAGATAAACAAAAAACAAATTTTAGAATCACCATTTCTACTGTTTCAGATCATCCCAGACTCAAAATCACAAGTTTTGAGCAAAATGGTCATTCTCTTTTCAAATCAATGAAGCTGCAATTGATTAATTTGTCAATTATCTTGTCCGGTAAACAAGTACAGCAGTTTCAGATCACTGAGGTCAAGAGAGAAATGAGTCAAAAGTACTTGTGTGGAAATGAGCGAGCCCACGTACCCTTGTTAGCGCGTTCATCGATGGCCGAACGAATACCACCACCTTGTACAATACAACTGGTGACTTGGTTCCAGTACATTTCATCTGGATTTCGAATATATTCATAAACCTGAAACCATTAGAAAGAAGATATTGTAACTGGTTTCTAGAGGAATCCAAATCTGTAGCTGGCAAGAAACTGGAAGACAGCCCTTATTTAGCAACTCCAATCTGAGCTTGAGTTCAATATCGTGGACTAGGTTATCTCAAAACTAATCAACATTCTGTCTCATTTGATGGATCCTAAGAGAAAATGCACAAAATAAAGTGGCAAGAAGTGATGTCGATCGGATGGGTCCAGGTTTATTGCAAGAGAAAAAATGGTTTCTCTCCCCTGATTGCTATCTGTTGAACTCTGCTGGAATTGTGCTTGCCTGCATGTTGGGTGAGGTCAGGATTGTGATCTTCCCCATGCTAAAATAACCTGCCATCACTATTCAGAGTGACACATGAAGAATAGCTACATGTGTGAGATACTTAAAATGCTTCTGTTACCACCCATGGACCATTTTATAATGATTAGTTGACACATTTAGTAGGAAAATAGTAACAAGAAAAAAAGAGAATTCATGAAAAATTATATTAATTACGTGGTGTGACACAAATTAGCACTCATTTTATATCAATCAACTACAGCATAATTTAACCTATCTGAATTATTTTAATATTAAATGTAATAATCCTACATTTGATTTTCACGCCAGGAGGACGTCTCAAGGTAATTCACAGGATATACTGTCAAGTGTAGTCACTGTATTTTGTGGGTGAACACGGGAGCCAATTTGCATATGGCAATGTCTCACAAATTGAAGTGAATAACCAATATTATTTGGGGGTTTGTTGGCCAGGACACTGGGAGAAATTCCCTTCTCTTTTCAAATCTTTTCAAATAGATCTTTAACATTCACCTAAGCAGGCAAATGGGACCTTGGTTTAACATTTCATCTGAGGGACGGCACCTCCACCAATGAAGCACACACCTAGTGCTGCATTAGGGTATCAACCTAGACTATATGCTTTCAAAGTCCCAACGTAGGGGCTTGAACCCATAACCTCTGACTGAGAAGTGAGAGTGCTACTAACTGAGCCAGGCTAACACATATAGTGGCAGCCAATGTTAAAATTACATTGTTTGAAGGAAACAGTCATTGGCTATATGTCAAACCTATTTGCAGTGTAGTTATCTACGAATGTTACTTACTGCAGCATCACAGATTAAATTTCCCATATTGCATTCCCGATATCTGCATTCCACATTAGTGCCATTCAGATATACCAATGTTTGCCCAATTATTTCTTTTGAATAATGAGCAAGTGGTTTTTTCCATTCATTTACTTCACGAAGAATAGCAGGGTCTAAAAGTAAAATAAAAGACACAAATGTTATTGCCTTCTAATATTACCAAGATCTTTCTTTTAAATGCTTTTTTTTTAACTGGGATTTGCTGGGAATGATTTTTTCTCTTTCAAGTAAAATCCAAAATGAGACAAAAGATCTCTTCTTAGTCACAATAAAAATATATGTTCCATGGTAATAACATGCACTTTGTCTCTGCCTGATGAAGTCATAATTCCTCATAAAATAGGGTACTAACAAAACTCAATTATTTACTGTGAAAACACTTATCGTTTATTATTAACTCTACCATTGAGTAGTTTCCCCCATTATTTTCTAAAATGTTAAATTTTCTCTTGTTAAATCTGAAAAGCACAGTCACTTTTTTAAAGATGGATATCCACCAGATGTGAAAGATGCTATATAAATGAAAATTCTTGTATTGTATCTGCATAAAAGTTACTATTCAGTCCGTCTAACATGTAGTGAACTGAAGGCATCCTCAATCAGTGTTTAAATGCAATGCGAGTGACTTATTTTAGTCCTTTATTGATATTGATAAAATCAAATTTGAAACATAAACTATATTCATTTGCCATAGAAAAATCTGCCGAAGAATATCTAGATGTTACATTACCTTGAATAATGTTACTGTCCAGGAGAATTGGGTTCCCTTCTGCTTTAGTAACCTTTCCTGCGTTGTCGAAGGTCACTTTTAAGTAACCAAGATACTTTCCATATGCATAGGCCTGTACAACAGGAACATTTTGGCCATCATTCGACTTTATCATGTAAGGATATTTCCCAGCAGGAACATCATTGGAAGGAGGCGTACCTGCCAAGATAGAATGAACAATGCAATGTTTTAATATTGAGACAAAAAGAAAATAGATCAGTAGGATAATTCCCATCAAGATTTGAAAATAATAATAATAATCCTTACATTGATACAGCCTTTTATCACATCGTTGAGACATCTCAAAGTGCTTCATGGAATATATTGTAAAGTAGATTGACTGTATTTTGGGGACAAAACACGGCAGCCAATTGCACAGAGCAGTATCCCACAAGCAGGCATGGATTGAGTGACCGATTTTTTTTAGGGAATATTACCCCAGGAAAGCAATCTGCTAATCGACTAACAACTGGGTTAACTACAACAACAACAACCTGGATTTATATAGTGCTCTCCACGCCGGACGGCGTCTCAGAGCGCTTCACAGTAACGAATCCAGGGGCCGAGCAAGGGGGAGGTGGAGGAAGGTGACCAAAGGCGCGGTCGTAAAGAAAGGTCTTCAGCAGAGACCTGAAAATGGGAAGGGAGGAAGCGATGTGTCGGAGGTGGAAGAAGGTGGTGCTGGTGAGGGACCGGATGTGGGGGAGGAAGGATAATTGGGGGTTGAACCTGACGCCTAGGTTGCGTACGGGTTCGGAGAGTTTTAGGGGTGGTAGAGTAGTTGGAGTAGGTGAGAACCGTGAAATTCTAGACGTTGATGAGAGCCAAAGAGTATTGTTTCCGTCTTGTCAACGTTCAGCTGAAGGAAATTTGCGCTCATCCAGCCCCTGAGATCTGACAGAGAGGATGTCGTTTGTAACTTACACAAGCTCAGTCTCTGTACTGTGGGCAGGGCAGAAACCAGATTGGAGGGGTTCGAAGAGGAAGTGGGAGGAGAGGTGTGTGTGGAGTTGATTGGCAACAACGCATTCTAGGACTTTTGCGAGGAAGGGCGGAATGGCTGGGGTTTGAGGGATCTAGGGAAGGTTTTTTGAGGAAGGGGGTGATGACAGCAGTTTTGAGGGGGGCAGGTTCTGATCCGGAGGAGAGGGACTGGTTGATGACATCAGCCAGTAGTGGTCAGAGGAGAAGGAGCTGGGTGACCAGCAAGTTGGTGGGGAGGGGGTCAAGGCAGCAGGTGGTGGGTTTCATGGCAGTGATGGTGGGTGAGAGGGAGGAGGGAAAGATGGGGAGGAAGGAATGTAGGATGGGGGTCGTGGTAGGAGTAGATGATGGGGAGGGTGAAGGGGACAGAGAGGGGATGGGTGACAAGAGGCAAATGGATGAGGCTGCCTGGCGGATGTTATGTATTTCAAATGAAAAGAAGTCCATGACCTCCTCGCACTTGGCATTTGATATGAAGATTGAGGAGACCTGAGGGGGGGCACGGCAGAGGTAGTGGGTGGTGGAAAAAAGGATTTTAGGGTTATGTTCAGCCTCCAAGATGATTTTGGGACTAGAAGGTGGAGGAGAAGCGATCATGAAGCAGCTGGACGGCTGCTTCAGTATCTCCGCAGGTGGAAGGCCAGAGGGATAGGATGTTTGATGATGTGAGGCTCTTTGTGAGGGTCTCAGGGGGTAGCCTTTTCCAAGGGTGGTAGAGGATAGTTGAGGGCTTGGTGGAGGAGAGAGGGATGTGAGAGGAGAAGGAGATGAGGAAGTGGTCCGAGATGGCCTTGTCCACTATGCTGAGGTCGGAAATGTCAAGGCCGTGGGTGATAACGAGGTTAAGGGCATGACCACGGTTGTGGGTGGGTGAATTTATATGAAGGGTGAGGTTTAGGAAGGAGAGGAGGGCAGTGAAGTTGGCAGAAGGAGTGCAAGGGGAATTTAGGTGGAGGTTGAAATCTCCCATTATGAGCAGACGTTTACCTAGCATAACTAGGTAAACAGAGGCATGTGGAGTCAGGAAACTTGCCTAAGGTTTCACTAAACTCAGGAAATCATTCTTTCCCTCTCAGTTGGACTTTCCAGCCACTACCATTTTCATTCACTTTATCATGTGAAAGCATCTCAAAGCACTTCACAGGTAATTATTGTCAGTCGTCATGACTAATTTTTGGCAAATATAGCAGCCATTTACACCACAAAGTCCCTCAAACAACCATGAGGTGAATTAATCCAATAGATTATTAGCCAGGACATCAGAGAACACCTTTAACATCCACCTGAGTACAGGTTAGCTCAAGTTCTGTTGAGATAAGTGAACCCACAACTTTATGACAGAGAGTATGCTACCAACTGAGCCAAAGTGACAGGAGACTCACAGTACTCCATAGGGAAATCACTCACTTGAACGTTGAGGGCTCTCCGAATGGCCTATTGGTAAAGACAACATCTAGTGTACCACTAAACCATACAGAATAATAAGATCACTGATTTGATTCCAGGTTTGCCCTGAATTAGCTGCACTCAGATATGGCAGCAGTTGCAACCCTGTATTTAGCTTTCTTACCTCTGGGCAATATCCTACTCCTGATTGCAATTCCACGACCCCTGCAATAAAGGATTAACTGTAATATGCTCCATAGTTACACTAGCCTGCTTACATTAAATGTACTCTACACCACATGAAGAATGGCCTTTTGAACAAAATAATAGAGGTCTGTTTGGGTAATCCGGAGAAACAACTTTAGGAGAGAAGGAATGGCAAAAAGGGAATACATTTGACAAAAAAGGAAATCTAAGTCACTGGCATAGGAAAAATTAAATAAGATCTTAAATAATTGTATTTTTTATGAAAAAGAAATTATAACTTTAAACCTAATATCAAAACCAGAATGTTTCAATGAAAGCTTTTTAATCAAGTTGCCGGACTAAGGTTTTAGCAATAGATTGTTGAACCCTGGGCCAACAGTGCTGACTCAGCATAGTCAGCTATTTGCTGACTGGGCTGAGACTATGCTGAGTTAGCTATCTTGGGGCTACAAAATACTATAGAGGGGAGTTATAGGGTGCTGATTCCACATGGATCCTGAAACTGGTCTCGCTCCCCTCCTCCCACCCCTCCCTTCCACAATCGCCCCACAAACCCCCCACCCCACCCCCATACCCGACACACCCAATTATCACTTGTTTTGGGCAGAAAAAATAGAGCTCAATGAATCCTGAAAAAAAAATCTTTGTTTTTATTTTGTGAGTATCCTGAGAATCAAAACGTTAGCCATTTTACTGCTGACTTCGGGACATTTTTGCCCACCGCTCTGCATTCTGTAGCTGTACAGTTACAGGGCTCCAGTGGCGAGCAAAGCTCATTCATATCATATGTTTCGCCCACAAAATACACAGTCAATTCATTTTACAGTATATTCTGTGAAGCGCTTTGATTCGTCTCGAAAACGTGATAAGGCGCTGTATTAAATACAAGGATTATTATTATTATTATTATTATCATCACTGGAATGAGTTCAGATACAGGAACCTGATCAGATATTTTCCCCACCCCACCTTCCCGAAAAGTTACCTGTGTAAAGGAACGTGTTGGTGTGTCCTCCAACAACAATATCGACTCCCTTCACTTCCTTTGCAATCCTCTTATCTGTTTCAAAGCCAGAATGACCCAAGGCAATTATGTATTTTATCTTTAACGTTTTAAGTTTGTCAACTTCCCTCTGCAGTGCTTCAACCTCATCTTCAAAGATGAGGTGTGGGCCTGAAATTAAAGATTTGTAATAGATTTACATATACTGTAGTCTCAAACTTCTTGGATATAATGAATCTCCACTCGAATTGTTACCAACCTGAGCTTGTAAGCAATGGTGTCTCCTTGCTGGTGTACCCAACCACACCAACCTTTTCAGATCCGACTGTAAATATATGATAGGGCTTATAATAGCCAGTGATATTTGGTGCTAGATAAGCATCTGGTTTTATATTAGCACTCAGCACCGGAAAGTTAACAGATTGAAGAAAGGGTTTAATTAATCCATCAACACCATTGTCGAATTCATGGTTTCCCAGAGCCTAGAGAATAATATATTGGTAAAGTTAAAATTAAAAATAGAGAAAATAGCTATTGCGTTAATTAACAAAACAAAATACAGTATTTTACAATTCCTTTAATAAAGAAAGATCAATCCTTAATCTAATGTTCAATGTTAAAAGTAAAATGCCTGTTCAGGTTGTCTGGTAGTTTATGGAACCCTGTTAATCAACAAGAAAGTATGAAGCTATTGATTTAACATGACTGACATACAACATAACTCCTGAGCTCTTTGTTGACCATGTCCATAGTTAGGAACTGGCATGTACTTAGTTTTGTATTAGCTTGATATACATAGAATATACCCCTATTTATAAAACCTAGGATTCCAATGCTTAAAGAGACAATGCTAAAATTGAATAAATGGCAGTAATTACAACTGGCCTCAGAGTCCCTCAACAGAAGAAAAGAAGAAAAATAATTCTTAATTGCCATCCAGTGTCTCTTGCAGAAAACCGCACTATGGATAGGATTAAACTTTCTGTACGTTATAAACAGCCAATGTATGATCTGTGCTCACACTCCAATACATTGCTGTGGGTGTGCAGGATTGTTGGCGTTGACATCCTTCAGACTTGGCATTAAACTGAGGTCCCATCTGCCTGTTCAGTGTGGCACTACAGTATTTGAAAAGAGAAGGGAGTTTCTGAGGAAAAAATCTAGAGTTGGACATCTGTTACATCAAGACTCTTTTTCCTTGGCAATGGAATATCTTAAAAGATGTCATTTTGAATAGGCAGATTGGACAAACGTTCAGCATTTCAGCTAGAATCAGTGAACCTTGAGCAGTGGTTGAATCAGATAGTGTAGATGCATTCAAGAAGGAGTCAGAACTTCAGATGAGGGGGAGGGAAATAGGAGGGTATGGGCGGTGAGTGAAGAATGGGTGGAGACCCATGTGAAATATAGACACCGTCATGGAGTGTTTGAGCCTGTTTCCAACCTGTATACTCTTTGTAATCTTTGAATGTTTGCAACTCATGGCAACGTAGTACACGCCCAATATTATCAGCCAAGCTGAAAGGCCTGACGTGAGGCTTGAACTCAAAAATTTCTGCTTCAGGCTAAACCAAGCTGATTTCTGGCACGCGTAAAGCACACAAGAGGCGAAGCGGGTCATAAAGAATGTAATAAACTATGCAGCTACTTTGAACTATTCACATTTACCTGTTTTCTCAAATTTTCCAAGGAGTAGCATGCCTTTATAATAATAATAATAACAAATAAAATATATATATATAAATATATTTTTAAATAAATATATACCAACTGGAGATTGTGGTTTTAATTCTTTGGAAGAAATGGAGCTGGATTCATGACTGAGCGAGTTGTTCATCACAAATAATAATAATAATCCTTGCATTTGATTTAGCGCTTTTCACGTCTTCTGGACGTCTCAAAGCGCATCACAGAATATATTGTAAAGTGAATTGATTGTATATTTGTGGGCAAAACGCGGCAACAACAACAACAACTTGGATGTATATAGTGCCCGCCATGCCAGATGGCGTCTCAGAGCGCTTTACAGATTAGGATCCTGGGACCAAGCCAGAGGGAGGGGAAGGAAGATGACCAAAGGTGCGGTCGAAAAGAGAGGTCTTCAGCAGAGACCTGAAAATCGGAAGGGAGGGAGCAAGACGAAGGGAGTGAGGAATGCAGTTCCAGAGCCTCGGGGCATAGTGGCTGAAGGCACGGCTGCCGAGGGTGGAGCGGAGGACTCGGGGGACAAGGAGGAGGCCAGATCCGGAGGAACGAAGGCAACAGGTACTATGCCAAGGAGAAAGGAGGTCAGAGAGGTAGGGAGGTGCAGAGGAGTGCAGGGACTTGAATACAAGGGTGAGGATCTTGAAATCGATCCTCTCTGGGACAGGCAGCCAGTGCAGTCTGGTAAGGACGGGGTGATCGGGGAGCGGAGTTTTGTGCGGGTGAGAATGTGGGCAGCAGATTTCTGAATGAGTTGGATTTTATGGATGGTAGTGGATGGGAGACCAGCGAGGAGGGCGTTTGAATAGTCCAGCTGGGAGGTGACGCAGGTATGGACCAGAGTTTCAACGGCTTTTGGGGAGAGATATTGGCAGAGACGGGCGATACGTCGGAGGTGGAAGAAAGCGGTGCTGGTGAGGGACCAGATGTGGGGGAGGAAGGATAATTGGGGGTCGAACCTGGCGCCTAGGTTGCGTATGGGTCCGGAGAGTTTTAGGGGGAGGTCGGGTAGGTGGAGGAGGTGAGAACCGTGAGATTTTAGACGTTAACGAGAGCCAAAGAGTATGGCTTCCATCTTGTCAATGTTCAGCTGAAGGAAGTTTGCGCTCATCCAGCCCCTGAGATCTGACACTTAGGCTGATAGAACATCAGGGGACTGGGGATCGCAAAGAGAGGTGGAAAAGTAGCGTTGAGTGTCATAATAATAATAATAATAATAATAATCCTTGCATTTGATATAGCGCTTTTCATGTCGGGAGGACATCCCAAAGCGCTTCACAGAACACACTGTAAAGTGAATTGACTGTATATTTGTGGGCGAACACGGCAGCCAATTGCGCACAGCAATGTCCCACAAACAGTCATGGATTGAAAATGACCAATTTATTATTGTTTTGTTTTTTTGGAGGGATTATTATTAGGCGTGTGGAGTAAGGAAATTTGCCCAACGTTTCGCCCTGCCGGGAATCGAACCCAGGTCTCTCACTTGCAAAGCGAGTGCTCTAACCACTGAGCTACAGGACTCCACAAATCATCTGCATACATGTGGGAAATGTACGCCATGTCTGCGGATGACATCCCCAATTGCGCACAGCAGTGTCCCATAAACAGTCGTGGATTGAAGTGACCAATGTCATTTTTTTTCGGAGGGTTTATTATTGGGCGTGCGGAGTAAGGAAACTTGCCCAAGGTTTCGCCCTGCTGGGAATCGCACTTTGTTTGCAATCTCCCAAGTTAAGAAATAACAAAAGATGACAACGTATTTCCTTTGGCAAAAGAAAAGATTCAAGGCACCATTATTGGACTGATATAAGATTCCTGCTGAAGAGTGCTTCAATTTTGAATAAGAGCAATCAGGTCCAGCCTAATATATCGTCAGATAGGGTATCAAAGATATCAAAGGTAGTCTCTTCTTCTCTACCGCCACCTACCCTCCCTCCATTCTCACCTCTGACTCCAAATGCAAGGAGATTTGGCCTTGTTGGTGTCCAAAATCAACAAGATCTTCTCACTTGCTTCCACTTCTTCTACTAACCAACACTGACTCCTTTGCTTCTCTCTCATTTCTCACATGAAACTTATTTCCTGCTCCCTGACTGCATTCCCACACAGCTCCTGTCTACTCAGTTGCCACTTCCACCCTCTGTCAGCTGATTTCATCAACCACCCCCTTCAATACAACCAACATTAACCCACTTTTCAAAAAACACAGCCTGGAAACAATTATTGCCCTATCATCAAACTGCGGGAATGTATCATTGACTCCCAGTTTCTTTCCATTCTCTCCGTTTACTATATGATTTTCCCGAATCTGGTTTGAGCCCTGTTGGCAGTACTAAGACATCCTGGTCAAAGTCAGAAACAATATTTTTTGTGCCTCGTTTGCCCTTCTATATGCTGTATATAATTATAGCATTGACCACTCAGTCTTTCTCTACTGTCTTTTTCCATCTCCGTACCATCACCTGATTCCATTATTACTTCAAGTACAATGCAGCCCAAACCCTCAGACTCAACTACTTCCCCATCCTGCTAACCAGCCTCACAAGCACCAAATTGTCTAGGAATCTGCAGCCCACATCTCTTCTTTACTAGGTCCTGTGAACCCATCACCCCTAACCTCGCCTAATCCCATTTGCTCCTTAACAACAACAAAATGACATTAACCCCAACAGATGGACTTTTGGAGTCCAAGATGGTTGGAGACCTTGTCTCGCAAGCGAGATTCCTGGGTTCGATCCCTGGCAGGGCGAAACGGTGGGCAAGTTTCCTTATTCCACATACCTCTGTTTACCTAGCAGTAAGTAGGAACCCGGTTGTTAGTCGATTGACGGATCGCTTTTGGGTGGGTAATAATTCCTTCGCCCAGAAAAATATAGTCAATTCCATTTACAGTATATTCTCACCCACGCATTCGTCACATCAAGGCTCGATCATGGAAACTCCCTCCTCATTGACCTTCCCAACTCTTCCCTTCACAAGCTGCGTTCATCCAAAACTCTGCAGTTCGTGTACTCTCACGCACCAGGCTCCGTGACCCCATCATTCCCACCTTTGCCCGACTCCACTGGCATCCCTCAGAGGATCGAATTCAAGATGCTCGTCCTCACTTTCAAGGCCATCCATGGCCTTGCCCCCTCCTATCTTTCTAACCTGCTGATTCCCTACCAACCTGCCCGCTCCCTCCACTGCCTACTCCATGTCTCTCGCCTGACCCGCCCTACCATCGTTGGCCGGGCTTTCAGCCTCTCTGCCCCCACACTTTGGAACTCCATCCCACGATTCCTCCGCCTCGCTTCCTCCCATGCCTCCTTCACGGCCGGTCTCAAGACCCTTCTCTTCGACCGGGCCTTTTGTCTCCCTCCCACCCCTCTGCCTTCCCTCACCCCTACAGCCCCCTCCCCCATGGTCAGGTCCTGTCCCCTGACTGTCCAGCGTCTTGGGACGTCCTCCCGACATGAAAGGCGCTCTATAAATGTAATTTTGTTGTTATTGTTGTTGTATTCTGTGAAGCACTTCACGACATCTTGAAGACATGATAAGGCATTATATCAAATGCAAGGATTATTATTATTATAAGTTCCCTGTCCTTCGGTTTTCGGTTCTGTTTGTTAGGCAGAGAAGTAATAACAGTAGTAGTGGTTGGTCTGTTTGAAACTCAGAAGTCAAGTTAGGCAGCACGAGTGACGTGTTGATTGTTTCTGTGGAGTTTAGAGGAACCATTCTCTGTGATAGTTCTGCTTTGTATGTTTTATATAGGATTGGTTGTGTCCGAGGG